ACGATGTTTTGAAAATATCAGTCCAATATGCTCATTTAGTTTTGATATTCACTGAGTACAATTATAGACAACCAGACAAATGACAAACCAAGCAACACTGAGATCCAAAAACATGCATGGGTGTAAGACTTAATGTGTGCTACCTCTGTTAAGGATATTAGGCATTATTTTTCCATAGAAGCAGAGCAGGGAGTGGAACAGGCCCGCTATAAGGGTTCCCAAGTAGATCGGGTTGGGTGACCTGGAATGGACAAACTATTGTTATTGCAAACACTAAAATACATTGATTTCCTGATAAACATGTCACATTCTGCAAATTTCATCAAACCTTTGGTATGTGGTCATGCGGTGGTATTGTGTGAAGATGCTTCTAGCCAGCCAGGGGAAGAGCAAGCTGCAGATCAGACCCCCATAGCCTCCCAACATGGCTGCTATTAGCAGGATGGCAGCTCCACTCAGAGTTGGAAAAAATAGCGTCCAGTAGTATAAAACTGGTGAGAAGAGAAAAATAAAGCAAAACATGTATAATCAACTTATAAACACACACACACAACACTTTTAATGATACATTTCCACTATCATCACCATTGTTATCATCATTACTTCCTTGTTTTATTGAAATGAATGATGAAAGCCACAGAGTAATATTTACCATGAGACTCTCTTGGCTTGTGGTGTATTGGCTCTTTAATGTGCCGACTCAGTAGTTTGGTGAGTTGCTGATGTCTAGAGAAAAATAGACAGTATAGCCATGTTCTAATCAGCATTAGTATCCCAAGAGAAAATGGTAAAATCTGGAAAAGCAAATATACTGTATATTTTGAAGGCACAGAGGGGTGTTACAGTCCTGTGCAGCCAGTGTTTTTCCACGTTTTTCTAGAGACAGCAGATTCACCTAAATGTTTTCCCCTGTTTGCAGAGATCCAGTGGTGTGAGGCCGCTGTGGCTCTTCTGATGGAGCATCCTGCATCCTGTTCTCTGCAGCAGTGTCCAGCACACCTCCACTCCTCCCCTCTCTGCTGCAACGTGAAGCGCTGTCGCTCCCTGCTGGTCAACTGCATCCACAGCACATCTCTGAGACACAAACAAGAGGGTTGAGGTGCACAGCTGCTAAAAGGTGGCCACAGCTGCTGAAAGATGGTCACATCTGCGCTGAGACCTGCCTCACAAAATCATCTTTAAGATTCCACTGATCTTTGTCCCATTTCAAAGTGTATGAGCTCAAATTATCTCTGGTTTGAGGGGGCTTTTGGGCCCTGGTTACATTTATGTCAATATAATGAAATACAATGCAATGCTACCACATACTGCAGCCACAAAAATGATCATAGAGTTGAATCAGCACCCAACAGGCAGCTTTTACTGTGAGGCTGTTTGTAGGATTGCCTTCAATGTAACTAATTTTATACACTGACGACTCAGTGTACATGGAAACCTTAGAAAGCTTTTACTCTAGGTATTTTAATGCTGGGTTGTGTACAGGTATTAAGCTGAGGTTATTTGCTGATAATGGCTGACTACATTTTTATGTGGGTGGTTCATGAGTGTGAGGGTTAGGTTAATCTTGAGAACCAAAACAATGAGCTAAAAGTGACTAAAAGCAGCTAAAAGTTGAGTAATGTCAAACATTCTTGGCTGCATGGTAATTCTCAGCTGCTGCAGCAACAGTTTTCATTTGGCTCAATGTTAGCATCAAAAACATTTTTACCACGTTTCAAAACTGTAAGATAATTCCCCGTGTGATACTGTTCGTCATCTAAAGCATATGAGTGCCTGAGAGAGTGAAGACTGTATCATACCTGGTCTCTGAGCAAATACCGGACCACCTCTGTGTTGCCTGTGGATGCAGCCAGGTGCAGGGGTGTCACCTGGTACATGTCTGTGTCTGAGAATCGGAACATCCCCGTCTCCCACAAATAGTGCACTGCAACACTGGGAGCGATAACTAACAGTTAGTGTGTGCATAATATATTTGTGTGTGACTGTGTAGTCACACAAAGAGAAGACAAAAAAAGACTAAGATGTGTTGTTTCCTCCACTCACATGTTGCCCCCAGTGACTGCATGATGCAGTGACGTTTTTCCCTGCAGGTCTATGAGGCGTAAATCAGCTCCATACTGCATCATTTGGTGTATGATGTAGATGTTTCCTTGCCTAAGGAGAGTAAATAAAGTACAAACTGTTATTACACCTTGAGAGTCCAGGCACATTTGTTTAACACTACAGACCCAATGCTCACCTGCAGGCAAAATGAAAGGCTGTCTGTCCTGCATCACATGTCAGGTTAGGGTCAGCTCCATTACTAAGGAAAAGGTCGACCAGGACACGGTTACCATGGAGGGCAGCGTAGTGGAGCGGGGTGAAACCACCCCAGCCTGAATGAAGGTAAACACAAGCACATGATCACAGTCAGGTTTGAAGATACTGACCTTCAAATTTGATCTGCAGTCCCTGAGACTAACAAGATAAGTCTGACACAAATGCATAGTGTGTTAGCCTGTTGATCGTTAAAACCCTCTGGAGCTTGGGTTAGGGTTCCCTTTGGCACAATGTGACTTTGTGTTGGGTTGTCACAGGATCTGTCCATCTAGATCTGTGCCAGACCATCTCACAGATGAGCTGCAACAGGGTTAGGTTTCCCCTTGGCATTAGGAAAAAAAATCACATCAGGAGACACTGAAGCATGATTAAGTTTAAAGTCGTCCTTTGAACAAAATATAATGAATGAATGATACTTGTTCAGTGCTATAAAATTTGCACATTTTAACTTAATCTATTCATATGATGCAGATTTCAACAGATGTGTATTACAGACACATGACAACAGGTATAACAGGTTTGTTCTCTTAGTGTACTATGTTCATCTGCGGTTCTCTGGCTTTATTATGAACAAATCAGGAAATACAACCACTCACAATTACAGGCTAAATGTGCTGACACAGGAACACAGTGGCAAGTAGTGGCCTGTAGTTTCACTAATAAAATAGCAACACAGACCTAATCAAGATGTGAACTTGTTATTGCATCTTACCTTTTTGCTTGAGGACTGATCGATCACTTTGAACGAATTGTATACACTGTTCAACATTTCCTCTCTGTATACAGTCAAATATGTCTCCGCCGCTAACGGAGCACATAGGCATCGGATGCATTGTGAGTGCACAACGGGAGCAGCCTGCTATTATTTCCACAGGCTATAAACTGCAACGGGAACAAAATCAGCTCCTCGGACGAAGCGCTACAACATCATAATGTAAGGCGAGAAGGGAGATCATCTTTCCTAGCAAAGTAACGGGGATCTTTCATTGTGCTAAACTGATTGGGCAGACCACGCCCTGGACACCTCATTGGTTAGAGCTGGCCACATGACCCATGACGTCAACGCGCCAGCAAAACACGTGGTCCCTATAAATAAGATAACACCCAAACGTTAATTAGCAGTGTTTCACGACTTAACATGGTCGTGTTATGGCCTGAAAATTACATACACTTTATTTACAGAGTATAAACACGTTTTAGACGTAAAGATATAGTTAGAACGTAAAGTTATACATGGCAAGAAATGTGTTATTTATTATTTGAAAGAAATGCATCATTTTTAGTGATTACGTGCCTCTTATGAAACTCGCCTGTAAGGTAGACAGGTAATCATACAGCGTTTGCCACACTGGCATAAGTCCAACTTTTTGGGCATGAAAGGGTAAAAGTTTTCAAATCACTGAAGTGGAGGTACTGGCTGGAGTCAACATTGAGCAGGCACCGGCACAAGGAATAAACTGGCTTGAAAATGAGGAACGGTTCTCCATCGAGCTCGCCAGTGTCCAGAGAGAGGTGCTTTGACTTTCTACAGGTGGAGGTAGCTAAATGTTAATCAGTGACAACACACTATTTTTGTTCACTTTTTGTAATTACAAGTTTGCATACTGCTTTCAGTGTAGACGCACTGACTTTTCATATGAGGTAAAATTGTAATTAATTGCATTAATGTTGGCTTAATTCAGTTTTAGTGCCCAAATGGCCACTGAGTTAGCATGCACCATACCAGCGCACGACTAATATAGCTGCGTCATCATGCCATTGGTTACACCTGTGATTTTACTGCTAACATATCTTCAGTAAGTAAAATGTACATGATTGACCGGTTGTTACGGTTGTACATTTACCTTAGGACAGTGTTTTTGTCTCCCAATATCTGGCTGTTGTCGGCGTATTTCTGTATCATTAAACCCCACAAGATGGCGCTGTTTAGCTAAGTTATGGTATTGCTGTGATTTTCTGTCACCAATACAAACATTGCTTTCCCACTTTCAGTGCAATTAAACTCAATCAAACTACAATATACTCCTTATGATTGAAAGCTCAATATATGAAGTAAATATTAAGAAAAAACAAAACTCTAATCGGACCCTTCTTTTACCACTACTACTTACTATTTTTAAAATAACATCTAACACTAAAAGACTGTCAGGATGCTTTCTTGCTTCACTAAACATTTCAAACACTATAACAGTAAAACAGGCCCGTATTTCCAATTATTATCATCAGACAAACAAACAAAATGAAGCTTGTTGTAATTGTTCACCTATAAGTCAAAGGCTTCAAATTACCCACATATAAGCTGCGCCTGCTTCCTTCTTTGGTGAATCATCTGTTACAGGGATTCATAATCATGCCAGCCTTACATGACATGTCTATAAAAAGCAAAGGGACTCTTCTTTGGGCTGCAGTGGGAGGGCCCCAACCAACCAGCTAAACAAGAGTTTTTCACTTCTGCTTCTCTAAGGAAGTAAGAAGGCACATGACCCGAGCCAGCTGATGTGAGTTACTCTGCTTGTTCAAAGTTCAGTCTGCTTGGTGCAGATTAGTAAGGGGCGGGTAGTTTTACAGAAGGGGTCTGCACAGTAGGTGTTAGTCATGTCTTAGCAGGTTTCTGCATGTCTTTTCCTCCTGACATGGGAACAGAGGCAGACCACTCACTCACTGGAATAACACAACACAGATGACAGAGTCCTCCTCCAAGAAAACTCCCAGATGGCTCTTACACAACTACAGGTAAGAATATGGGGACTTAACTGTGTGTTGCATTTATTATTTTTGAAAAGTCATGTATGCATGTACCCATGAATACATTTTCATTTTGACAAATTTATATGGAACTATAAAACACAATAGAAGTATGTGCTGTTTTTCCAGGAAGGAGTGACTTTGGATGCTTTTGCACTTTCTTGCTGTCGGTCTCTCACACACACTCGTTTCACACAGAACCTACTCACATGAGGAAACATCAAAGTATTAATGAATTTCTGTGGAATGAGAACTGACTCTCCGTGTACTTACTGTACCAGCTTTACTGAGTCTACCAGCTCTGGCTCATCAGTTTAGCAGTCTGTCTCTAAAAATGTCCGTCATTGTGCATCATGCGTGTCTCAAACCAGAGAGTGACCAAAATAATATCACTGTAATGTGGAAACAATCCTCTCGTCAAGCCTCAGTCGAACACTAACATGTCTACTCCTCTTCTACACCTGGTGCCATGGAGAAGTGTAAAACTTACATTTGCAGCCTCCTGTGTGAAGGACAGACTAGGAAACTATAGAGGAATAATAATGTCACAGTATCCAAAGCTTTATCAATATTAGGGGCACTATTGAGTGGACCTGAACATCCTTGGGTTTTATCAGTGTCACATTTGAAACTGGCCCCTCTGACTCCATCAAATCAATTACCAACTGCCTAGGCAACCTGTGCTCCCTTGTTAAAAACTTTGGTGTGATATTTGACATCGCCCTAACATTTGACCAGCAGGTCAGTGCAGTAATAAAAGCTAGCTTTTCCCAGCTCTGTATTATTGCCAAAATCAAGTCTTTTCTCTCATTCAAACACTTTGAGAAAGTCATACATGCCTTCATTTCCCCATACTTATACTACAGAAATTCCCTGTAACCTGGGATTAGTCAATTGTCCCTATCCCTCCTCCAATTTGTTCCAAAACGCCACTGCCAGACTCCTGATGGGCACCAGGAAGAGAGACCATATTAACCCTGTTCAGGCCTCTGAAGATCACTGGGTTCCAGTGCGTTTCAGGATTGATTTCAAGACCCTACTCCTTGTTTTTAAGGTCCTATATGACCTTTTAATCCCATATTCGGCTCCCAGGTCCATCAGGTCATCTCACCTGGGGCGCCTGGCTTTACCGCATTGTATATCTAAGTTTAGGACTGACCGAGCCTTTGCTGTTGCAACCCCTAGACTGTGGAACAACATGGCCCTCTCTATCAAATCTGCCATGTCCATTGATTCCTTTAAATACAGGCTTAAAACACATTTTTGTTCTTTCACGTTTGGATCCACTTGATGGGTATTCATTTTCTATACCTTTGACACTGTTTTTTGATTTATTCTGATTTGATTGCCTTAGTATTATGTTGTTTTTTAACATGTGCTTCAAATAAAGGTGACTTGACTAATGCTTGACTTGACATTTATTTGATTTTGTAAGAACAAAACATCCCGATTCTCAATCTTTTGCATAGTGAACCTCAAATTGTCTTATACATTCAATTGTTTTAATATCCAAATTTCCTGTACTTGGGACGGGACTGTTTATTTTTAGCAAACTGTTGCACAATTACTGTTGGTGACTAAACACTGCACTGGAGAAAAGGAAATGATATGACTAGATGGTATAAAAGAGGTAAATATAGTCCATGCAGTGGAGGGTTTGAAGCTTAAAAAGTGTTCAACATTTGTGGTTTCAGCTTTCAAAGATGGCATTTAATGGCATTATATTCTTCCAATTACTGAAAATTGGCCATCAATTATACTATACGAATCCCTTGCAGAGGTTGATAACTAGTTAATGAGAGTGGCACATGACAGTGGTCTTTTCTTCTATCTGGTGATTTCTCAAAGTAGACAGTGTGCTCAGCAGGTGGGGGAGGAGGGCTGAGGGTTTGGTTGGAGATTGAGGAAATATGATTAAAAGATATTTTGAATATTAGGTCAACTCAGGATATCCAAAAAAAAAGATGTAACAGTTTGAGGATTTCTCACTTTTCACACACTCTTTGTTTCCCCCTCCAGGACCAGACTGCTAAAGGGGAGAGGATCAATAAGGAAACCGGAGAGCTGAGTGCTTCAGGGGAGCTACCTGTCTCTGTGGAGTTGAAGGAGCTGAAAGTAGAGGGCTCTTGTAGGAATCCTCAACTCCCACAAGTGCTCAGAAAACAACTAGTGGAGCTGGGAATTCACACATACTCAAGCTCTGACCACAGAACTGACCATGATCTTCTAGAGCAGAGAAAGCAACATCTGGTCAAAGTCCTACCTCTCTACATACAGGTATGGACCTGCGGGACGAGAATGTGGGCCTATTTATTTCTAATTGTTCTTTCATTTATCATTTTCAGAGATATATTTTACAGTTCATCAGTCAACCAAGGGAGTTATTTATTTTCTATTATGATTGAAGTGGAAGTTTTTCTATTGTAAAACTCTTTAAACAAATGGAGACTGTCAACTGGAGAATCATTAATGGATCATGGCAGGAGAATTTAAAGTGGGGCCACATTTCTAATTATTACCAAACATTGAAAAGGTTAAATGGATGCCTTAGGGCTCCCTGATTTCAAACACTGTTCCAGACTGCTTGAATGAACAATTAAAACAACATGAGTTGGCAGTCAGATGTTTGGGCCTCAGCTGATCCCACTACTGCACTGTCCTTTGAATGAATGTGTCTCTTGGTAAAACAATACAGTTTACTGCTCTGTCACATGAAATGGAAAAGTGCTTCACATCCATAGCTTCAGGCCTCACTTTGATTAATTGAAAGAAGTGGAGTTTCTCACTCTCAGTGCCTCAATTGCGTCACACTTATGAAGATACCTCCCATTGTTTTTTTGCCCATGCACACACTCTGTGAAAATTCCTTAACTGATCTGTGTGTGTGTGTGTGTGTGTGTGTGTGTGTGTAAGTAACACCATTGATCAGGCTTACAGCTGCAGACGTAATCGCTCTTTGGTTTGTGTGGGGTTGTGTGTGTGTGTGTGTGTATACGGATAAGCCTCATGACCAGAGATTTGACCAGAACTCAGGGCTTCACTTAAGAATAGCAAACTCAGTGAAATGCGATATCCTCTTATGGAACTGAAAAGAGCATATAGTACGTACTGCCCTCCATTATTTATACTGTAGCGCATTAGCAAAAGCACTTGAGATCCAACTATAATGTGTTAATGTTGCTTCACTGAATATCATAATGTACAGATACAGCATATAATGGGTAAAGTCCTAAAACCTCTTATCAGTTTAATAATAAATTCTACTTTAATAAAGGTTATATTTCCCCTTAATACTCTCAGTGATATAGGTAAATTGGGTGAGCAAAAACACCTCCATATAACTCAATACTTGAGATGACAATACTTGTCAGTATGTGTATAGTTTTTCAACATCGGTGTCAACATCTGTATTAAACCTTTCAGAACAGTTGTTTTATTGCTCTTCAGTATCTCTGTAAAATGGACATTCTCCCCTCTGATCCCAGGTCTGTGAGGATGGTGCCAGACTTGAAGACTTGGACGTAAAGGGGCTTGCAGCGCTCACCGCTGACACTGTGATCCATAACATCCACAACAGACTGGCAGAAAGGCCTGCAGGTACAAACAACCGCTCATATCAGCATGTACTGCACAGTTATTTCCAGGTATAGGGACTTTCTACCTCATTTGTCTACTTCTGCTTTTTCAGTGTACTGTGGGTTTTTTTCCACTAAATTGTTTCATGTTGTAAATGTCACCTCTACCATTTTATCAAAAATGGAAAGCCAAAGTACATGCAGTGTGTTCACAGAAAAGTGGAAACACCTCATACACAGTTCATTTCTTGACGCTGGGATGCTTCAAGAGGCTGATTTTCTGTCAGTTGTCTCTCTCCTGTCTTGCTCTGTATGTTTGTGTGCAAAAGAGTTTTTTTTAGAGAATGCAGCAAGAGTCTTACTCAGTTTTTAGGGAAATAGATACTTCTGGGGTTGTTTTTGATGAAGCTCTGGTATGGGTGAAAGTTTGATAAGGTGTTAGATGGTGCCTGAAGTAGATATTTCATACTACTTAAATAAACAAAGGTGTGACTTTTCTTTCTCAAATGTAGGCTCAGCAGGTCTTTTTATGTACATACTACTGTCATATTAAAATAATTTAACAGTTTGACAGCTGTTGTGTAGCCCAAAAATTTGTACCTGCCAAAAATAGAAATGAAACCCTTTATGAGAACACATCGTTACCCACAACCTTTTCAGATATGCATGTCGCTCTCTATTTGAGTACTTGACTGACTTATGGAGTTAGATTTCAATGATTTCTGCAGCAGTAGATGGTGAAGAGAAGCAGCTATAGTATGTAGCAGTCTTGCTGTATATTTTGTCTTTGTGTATGACCCTTAGTCTTCAGGGGTCATGGCTCAGTAAACGTTAAGTCCTTTGTGTTTTCAGAGGCGGCTCGTGAAGAGGTGGTGCTGTTCTTTCAGAGGCTGGACGAGGACACAAAATGTGAAGTAGGAGAAAGTCCAGGATGGCTGCTGTTAAAGTCCCTTTTACTGCTGACAGCTGACAACTCAGTGAGTGATAATTAACAGTTACTTTTAAAATGAAGTGAATTTTCAGAGTTAAACTGATAGTGCTACACTTTCAGCTGATCAATGCTGTTTAATTAACAACCTTTTTATACAGTATTTGATGGGAGTCATTTATGGGGTAATTGCCATTATTTATGTTAAGTCCTTGACTGGCATTGGACAGTGAAATAGATGATATACACCATATTGATAAATCCACACATACCTTCAAAATGCATCAGAATTCCCAAAACTGGGACAATATGGGTTATTGTTATTATAAGTACCATACCTGTAAATATCTTCTGAAAATATTTTTTTTTTCCTACATTTTACTTTAGATTGTCATCTTTTGTGTGTGTGTGTGTGTGTGTGTGTTTGTAGGATATATTCTCCTATATAAACCCAGGGCTCCCTGCTGCTTTGGTGAAATGTCTGTACCTGCTAGTCTGCCTTCCAGCTAAAAAGGAGAACAGGGCGATAGAAGAGACCTTTCAGGAGCCACTAACACAGGTCAGTTGAAGCAATAGCCTCAGTTTACTCTTTACATTTTTCATCATGTTCTACCTGTCTATGCTCTGTGCTGCTTTTATTCTTTTCCATTATGTTTTGGTTTCACCTTCCATTTCTTCCCCCTGCCCTTTTCCAGGTTCTCCTTCAGCTCTGTAGGCAGCCAGTCAATGCGGAGCGAATGGTGGAAACCCAGGAACTGCAGTGTCTTATCATTGGCCTCACATCACTATGGGATCAGACTAGCGCTTCCTGGAGGCACCAGGCCTCTCGTGTCCTCAAGGCAATCTCTGCCGTAGCGACAAGCAACACCGTCCCGAGCTTGCTAGGTGAGGTAACTCAAATCTATTGAGACAAGTCACATTTCTGTTAAGCTCATAGTTGTTTAATGGTTCTTCTTTCTGTATTAGATTCTATTCCACCAATGACACTGAACACATAAGGACAAATCAGAAAAACAGAAACAGGCTACACACAAAGTGAATAATTAGATTTTGTTTGGGAAGTTATTTGTGCTGCCAGATATTTTTATTCCTGTAATGAGTTGATTATACAGTGACACATGACCGCACAGCCCAACAACAGACGCACTGCAAGTATGTTTCACATGATGTGTCCATCAGCACAGATGAGTCCCTCAAATAAACTTGTACACAAGTTTACTTTGATTTGTTTCGGACATCATTATCTGTATTTTCCTGCAGGATATTTTGCTCACATGACAATAGCTCTTTGCTGTATCATTCACATTGAATATATCGTTGTTCTTAAGCGGTCATTTCTTGAACTGAAAACTGGGTCAACTGTGTGTTGACTGTGCTCTATGACCTCACTTAACAATAACACTGCCTTTCCCGCATTAGGTAAGAACTGTGTGCGTATCTGCATCCAGAACCTGCTGCACATCAGTGCTGACGTCTCAGGACCGCTGCTAGCTGAGGTGGCTGTGGCTGTGTTTAGCTTCATTAGAGACACCTATTCCCTGAATACAGCCCTCTTCATTGAGTTTGACACCAACAACGGCTACCAGGCCCTTGAGAACATCCTGAAACGGTGAGATAAAAGGACATGAACTGACAAAGAATGAAACAACTATGTGATTTTAGGATTAGTAGTAAATAGGTCATCCTAGAAAAGACATCAAAATATTTCACATGTGTAATTTTCTGCTCTTAGATTCAGTACAGAGAAATCTTTATTTCGCTCTGCTCTTCATTTAACTTACCCTTTTTTTTCTTGTCTCATATCATTATACCATCATAAGCTGTGAGGAGGGTGTGTCCGTGGATCAGTTTCAGCCCGTGGAGGAGTTGCTGGCTCTCATTGCGTCTTTCACCCTGCTGGGAAAAACTGAACTGAAAGTGGCTCTTTGTGTGACCAACCCCCAGCCTCCAAGCTTTAAGTTTGATCCACCACTCACCAAAGGTAGGTCAAGTCTTCAACAAAAGTTCTGCATTGTTATTCTCTGGGCACCACTCCCTAATTAACTCTAATGGCTGATTGTATCATGAGGATAAAGTCGGAACAATCCCCTCTAAATGCATACTCCAAACTATCTAATTATTATCACTTGCATAGCTCAGCAAAGGTAGGCGTAAAGGGGGGGGGGGGGTCGCCCCCAAATGACCACACTGTTCATAACTCCTTTGCACTTTTGCCCTGATATAACCCATCCAAATTGCACCACCCACTTTCCCCTTTCCCTGATTCACCACATACCCTGGCTTCCTACTCCCCCACCGCTACCCCACTGCAGTGCACAACACCCCTCAGGTTAACGGGAAGCTGAGGTGATTATGTCTGGGATGATGAAGTGGAGGCTTCCCCTCTAACTCTGTTAGGATGCCCCACATCCTTTCAACACTGGCCTACAGCAACTAGCCATCTATCATAGATGCACACACACCTCCATCCAACACTCATAAATAGAGTGTCCATAATAAACACACACATACCCATTCAAACATACACACAGACACACACAATCAGGACACATCAATCAAATCGAGGAGTAGATCTCTTTTCAGCAGAGTGTTCAGGGACTGCTTTGTGTTTATCTGATTTTATTCTGATGCAATTTTGATTAAATGTGAAAATGAATCCTATTACTAACCAGGTATATATTTATTTACAACAAACACAAGTGTGTTTTGGCTCCCAAATCTAAGACCTTTTCTTAATATTTTGACAGTACACCAAACAAACCCTATCAAGGCAGATTATCTTACTTTTCTTTTGCTTTCATGCATGTTATGTTGTTTGTTCAATCTGTCTATGTATTTATAACTCAATTGGCTTCTGGGATTCAGCATGTGCTGTGTGTTAAAGGTTGTTTGTGATTTATTGAGTTTCCTTTTCCTTCTTCTTGCCGTAGTAAAATCAGATAAATCGAGCATTACATTCAAAACATCTTTTAGCTAAATTGACCTCAGGCTGATAGTGTTTTGCAGAACTGTCTGTGACAGACTAGTACCAGGATACGTTCTCTCCCACTTCAAAAAGTTAAGATAATCAAATATGCAGACTGTATTCTTTTCAATCTGACTTGTTTCAATGGGCTGAAACCTCCTTTAACAAGTTAAGTATACTCAGACTTTTTTTCGCCATCATCTAATGTTCCTTTGTCTCCAGGCTTAGCAGTAAAGAACCTGCAGGCCTTCCACCTGCTTCAGGCCTCCTTGCTGCATTCCCAGGATTCTCTGCTGTGCTGCCAGCTTCTTCGAACCCTGCAGACAATATGGGAGAGGGATCCAGCCAATTTCTTCCTCTTGGAGTGGACTGTCCAGTCGGTGGCTCAGGTGGCTGCCTGTGTGTCGCGTAAACCAGCACCTGTCCAAAAACTATTCTTTACGCTTCTAGAGATGGTACAACTTCTAATGTGTACAGTAAACTCCCTGTGCTTGTTTGGTCTTTGATACAACATGCATACAAGGTCTGATTAAATGCTGGGTTTTCCCTACAGGTGGTATTTAAGTTGAACTACATCCCCCATGAGACCCTGCGTGCACTGCTTAATGTGCTGAAGCAGATTTGGGCTGGGACACTGGCTGGAGGGGTGGCGGGGATAGAGTTTGGAGTGGTGGCTCTTAAGTGTTTTCACAGGTGAGCAGTGCGAGTTGGTAAGATATTACTCACATGTTCAGGATACTGCTGCTTTGTCCTGAATCAATCCTCTGATATTAGTCGGAATTTGTTGTTTTCCTGTCAGCTGACACTCATAAAGCTAGTTTAAATGGGAAATAGCCAAAAACATAACCTTCTCCCATTGGTACTGCAACAGCTTGGTTAGTCTGATCATTGAGACAAATACACACAGGAAAGGTAAGACAGGATGGAGTTGTCAAGTTTAGGTATAAATACAGCGTATTTCTATTTGAACTAGTAAAGCGCATACCTCTGCCAAGGCCAAACAATCCTACACTTCTGTCAGATCCAGATTATTATCTGGATCTAGATTATTATCTGGATTTGCACCAAACTGTACAAAGTCATAGATCTCAACACCATTAACATATTAATATTAATATGTTTTTTTCACATCAAGATCCATACAGTATTTCCTGAAATTGCAGTGCTTTGTTTGTACCCATTTTTTCCTTGATGTATGCTGAATAAAATCGATCTTCTGTTCTCTGTAGGATGACTGTGCACAGTGGTATGCTGGCTGAGGTGTTGAGTGACTGGGGTCTTCTGGAGCTGCTGCTTGGGGAACTCCGGAGGAGAGCTAAGATTCTCAGGAAGGCTGGAGTTGTTTCTTCCTCTGAAATAAGTATGAACCAACATATTTATTTCTTCAGCTTCTGATGTAATCACGATTGTGCAAAGAGTGATTGTTTGCAGAACAGCATGTCATTACAGCGAACCTGAGCAGCAAACTCAGTCCTGATTCAGTGCATTTTTACATTTAATGCATGTGGACATTTGTCCTTGACCTGCAGGTGTGACTCAGCAGCCACATTTCACATTCAAAACCACTTTTCACCTTCTATGTTTACTGTGTAATTTGCATCTGAAGTACTTGTGCTCTTTAGATCCCCAGGACCTGCAATGTGTAGAAGAAAGTGAGAGGCTGCTCACTACCTGTATGCTTCAAGTTGTGTCAACTCTTACTTTACGTTCGATAAAAAACACAGGTATACACATTCACTTCTTTTCATGTCCATTTTTTTTTTGTTAAATTCCCTACACTGTCACCATCTGGAATCATTTTGTGTTTCTTTTACATATTTAAGGCTAATTTTGTGTGTATACTCCAGTTTCAGTGCGAGACCTTGGTATGGTTCCCTACATAAAGATCTTCTTGGATAAGGATCAGTATCGAGGTCCCACTCTGAGCATTTTGGAGCAGCTAGCTGAGATTAACCCCGAGGAGTTCATGAGTACAGCCATAGGAGCCCTCTGCTCCTCAACACAGCAGGAGCTTGGGTTGAAGTGGGACCTTTTGCAGGTACTTGTGTCATTGACAACACCAAACACACTTCCAGATATATAGTGAATGTAGTCTCCACTCTACATCAAATCATAACAAATTGTAATGCACTTAAAACATAATAAGCTAGTGAATTTATTTTCTTAGCATGTGGGACCCCGATTACATTATAGACAAATGCAGATTGATTTGCTAAAACAGGTTTAGCTGTTAACTCTGGACCAATTTGATTAGGCCAGCAGCCTTGTGCTGTGGCACTATGAAGATTGCAACCTCTATCAGATCAGTGAATGGGACAGAGATGTGATTAAGCCTAACTAAATTACACACCTACTGTATGTGTCCGTTTTTATAGATGGGAGCAAGAGGAGCACTTACTTGCAGATATCGTGTGTGTTCAATGTGTGTGAGTGTTTGAGAGTGCTTGTTTGTGCATGCATGAATTGGTGTGTGCGTGTGCGCGCGCTTTGTGCTAACATGGTTAAAGCAAGTGGCAATCAGATTGGGTACAACCTGGGTTGGCAAGTGTTGAGAGCCATTGTGATTACTCCAGTTTCAGTTAATCACATTTCCCTCTGCGTTCTGTCTCACACATTACCTACCTGATGGATTAGCTCTTTAAATTGAATAAACCTAATTTGATTTTGTTCACCTCCAAAAACTAGTTACCAGAAATGATTTATGATATATCTATATGTTTCATCTATTTTTCATGACATTGTTTTAATTGACGAGGGAGACGCTTTTAAAAGCTGAGACTTCGAGCCAAGCTTAGTGTCTATCAAAATGCATTCTTTCTAAAGTATTTTAAACAGAATCTGCTTTGTCACATGTATGATTATGTTTAAGTGTATTTGGTGATCCCACATGTTAACTGTCCAAGTGGTCTATCTGGCTTGTCCCTTCTGTGTTTCAGTCTGTGCTGAAGGTGCTGGAGAGCCCCAACAGCTGGGAAGCCTTCAGGAGAGCAGGAGGCTTCACCGGACTACTGTCTCTGGTGATCGACATGGAGGGAGCTCTGTCTGACCCTCCACAGGGAGAAGTTTGGAAGTCGTTGGGGCATCAGCAGCTGCTGGACCTCCTGCTCCTCGCTCTTCACATCCTGGCCTTGGCTGTGCATCTTCACACAGTAAATGCACACCATTTTGAGACTGGTGGCTTTTACGAAAGGCTGGCAGAGGCTCTGCTCCAGCTGGGCTGCTTCCACGCTGAAAGTCCTGAGAAAGAGAGGTGGAATGGAGAGGAAACCTCCTGTCCCAAGGCTGCAGGGGACAGCCAGTCTCCTGGAAAGAGCTTCCACCAGTTTGTTGAGTTAGCAGAGGCCACTGAAACTCCCTCCTCTCCCTCCACCACACCGCAGCCCAGTCTGCCTGTCACTCTTCGGACATGTATAAGGCTGCTGTCCTATCTCGACCAGTTCGCCACTGGGGCCTACTCTCCTCAGGAGTTAAACTTGGGACTTGAGCCTGATGATGTGTATGATGTAGATAAAGAGAAACAAAATGGACCAGCAGGGCATGAAGGAGTGCATTCAGGGTCCCCTCCTGTCCACTTGGGATCAAGCCCACAGTCAGTTGTGGACACACAGGGAAGATCCAGAAGCACAGCATCAACTATTTCTACGGTCTGCACAGAGTCTCATTACAGGTGGATATTTCTAACCATTTGGAGGTTGTTGAAGACTCCTATAATGTGGTTTTTCTCTACATTCAAATTTAAATATAAGGAGAGTCTATATGTTATCTTTAAGTATCAACCCATATTTTTCTTTGTTTTGTGCTTTTGGCTTGGCCCACAGTAGGTTCACCTGCGATCATATTATTCTTCATCCAGGAGCAATCCGAATTATAATGACTCTCCTTCCAGCAGTGTTTACTCCTAAAGACTCACAGGTACCTCTCTTGACTGAACATGTTACAGTCCCTAATGTTACATACTATTTAATACATGGTAGGACTCCAGTATGAGACAAATTTCTTTCCATCTTTCCCAGCTGTCCATGGAGGTCCAGTTCTCCCTGGCACACCATGTCCAGGCCATGGTCAAACCTGAGCGAAACCGCCAGATAATGTGTGAGGGGGGGCTGGTCTCCACACTCCTGGCCCACTGTCAGAGCATGTTGCTGTCTCCAAACCACCCGTTACATCTACCAATTACACGGATCTTGGAAAAGCTCTCCTCCCAGGCCATCACACACTCAGACTTCAGGTCAGACACATGCATTTATATAGTGCAATGCAGATGAAGAAATTTGTTTGCATTTAAAATCTTTTCTGAATATTTGTGCAAATGAGAATCTGTATTTGAGCTGTCCTTTTTCTTTCTCAGAAAGTTCCTGTGTTTGGGAAACCCTCTTATGTGCTTGGTAGACAAAACAGCAACAAAACCACAGCCAGCTCCTGTATCAAATGGTATATATTTGTTTTGTGACAATGACTATTCTTATGTTGTTTCCTGCATGCTTCTTTTACTGAATTCACTTGATGTTTAATTTGGTCTTTCATACCCAAAAATCAGCAGATCGCTAATTTGATTTTGGTATTATCTAAATCAGGTCATAGTACAGAGGCAGATCCCTCATCGGAATCTAAAGTGAAGACACTGAAGAGGACCTTCAGTTTGTTACAGTCCACAACTTGCAGTGAATCCTCTGTTGGTTCTGCAGTCCCTGCCCATCAGATTATCAGTCTGGTGTCCATGACATCACCGCGCACCTTCAGACCACACCGGGTCTCCTCCTCACCTGCTTTTGTAGAGTTTGACATGAGTGAGAGCGGATATGGGTGAGTCCCTGTTTTTTTGGTTCTCTGTGTAGTCCTGCAGTCCCAGTTAGAGTAGTGATAAAACCTATTGTTGCAGCACCAAGTAACAGTAAAGAATAAAAAAATGGATGTATATAATAGTGAAAAAAGATGCTTTAGCTTATCAACAGAGTATTATTGTACATGTAATGTAAGAACATCAGTTATTCACACATTCATTAATTTACTGGCATGTGACGGTATGCTTCCCAGCTGCCTTTTCCTGCCCTCTCTGGCTACAGTGAAAGGAGTGACTGCTGATTCAATCTCAACAGGTGGAATTGGAAAAGGTAAGTGATGAATCTAAATGTTTGATAATGAATGTGTTAATAAATTTGAATAAATGTCTAATCATCTTCCTTTTATGTTTTAGACTGCAGGGGATTTCCCCCCACAGCTGGTCTCTCGTTTTCTTGCTGGTTCCAGATCAACAGGTTCAGTTCAGCCTGTGACTCCCACCCAATCCGTCTGTTGTCAGTGGTTCGCCACATGTCTCGGACTGAACAACAGTACATCTGTCTGTCAATCTCCTTCTCAGCCTATGACGGCTGCCTGGTTATCTCCACAGAGGAGGAGGCATTAGCATACCTGGGTAAGAGCAATAACAGTTTGGTCAGTATTTGCTCTTGATGAACTTTACATAACAGTTATTGATTGTCAAGAAATTAAAGGAACTTGTTCAACTTTCTAGCTTTTCTTATCATCTGTCAGCTCTTTCTTACCAGCTGTGTTTAAAGTGGTCCTGCAGAATAGTTACATGATTAGTTTATACCGCATGCTGATTGACTGATTGTGTTTCTCCATGTCTGTTTTAACAGATATGATGGAGCCAGAAGTTTCTACTCCCACTTCTCTGCCTACATCACTGAGACTCCGTTGCTCCAGCATACTGGTCCCAGGTCAGTGGCACCATCTGGCTGTGGTGATGGCCAAAGACGTGAAGAAGAGCTGTGTGACCTCAGCCTACTTCAACGGCAAGGCACTGGGGACCGGAAAGGTATGACAAGAAAAGAGAGGCTGATGATTAAACTGATTCCAGGTCCAACATGGCATTTAAATATCAATGTATCATAGACACTTTCATAAATGGAAAAAATCATGCCTGTGCATTTTCTGTTAGATGAGGTACATTAAGCCATTCCCTGGTCAGTATGTCTCCATGGACCCCACAGCTGTGATTGACGTGTATGGACTGATAGGAACGCCAGCTCTCTGGAAGGAGCACGCTGCTCTAGTGTGGCGAGTGGGTCCTTCTTACCTGTTTGAAGAGGCTTTGAGTCCTGAGGCAGTGGGTGTCATATACACAAAAGGCACTGCATACCAAGGCAACTTCCAGGCTCTGCGCAACATAGGTGAGTCACAAGATCTTGTGCAAGAATTTCACAGGATTTCGACAGAATGTCTTTTGTCTACCTCCAGTAGGTCACCCTGGATAAGAGTCTTGTCCAGTTATGCACACTGAATCTGAATCGGTTGTGTTTTTTTCAGAAACATGTGACCCTAGAATAAGATAACATTTCTCTTTAGATTCTTAATGAATGTAATTTTGATCAGAGATTTTTTTAAAATCTTTTTTTTGTTTCACCCATGCAATGGCATGCAACAAATTATGTTTCCATGGTGCTCATTGCATGCATGATCGATTTTCTCTGTAAAACAGATAATGTGCTTCCATATAGAAGCACAGTATATACTGCAGAACAACTCCAACAACTTAATACCTTAACAGCTCATGGGAAGGAATACATATTGACATATATAAATATTTTCTAATTAATAAAATTAATTACATGGTTATGGTGACAGGTTGGACCTTGTTTAGCCTAAATTCTAGTTCACCAACTATGTTTTCTTGCCTCTCTGTTTGTGTCCAGGCCATAATCCAGATTCTGAGGCTCTCCCTCTCAGGCTGGTTCCTGAGGAGAGGATTTCATTTGGCATCAACCCAGCAATTTCTACATTAACAACAGTTGTGCAGATCAGAGAGGATTACAATGAGGTGGACTGCAGACTGATTGCTAAAGAGGTAAGGTTGCACCTTGAAACTATGTGTTTGTTGTTTTTACACAGAGTAGCAATCATTGTTTCTAATTACAGATGGGCATAACATCTCGGGATCAGTCCACTCCCGTGTTCCTTGCTCGAAACATCAGCCAACACCTGAGTGGTACATCTCGCACCATAGGAGCAGCGCTGGTTGGACATTTTGGTAAATGAAGTACTGTTTTCAAAAGTTTATTTCTGCTTTAGTAGATTCTTGCAGGCACTTTTACTAAGCTCACAGCCTCTTCCTTCTAGGTGTGCGTACATTCACTCCCAGCAGTGCATCCCACGGTTTCCTGTATGTTGGTGGGCCTGCAGTTGTTCTCAGTTTAGCTGCAATGGCTCCAGATGATAGCTCTTTGTATGCAGCTGTTAAAGTTCTTCTTTCTGTGCTGGAGACCAACTCTGCCATGCAGCAGGAAATGAACCGCATCAACGGATACAAGGTCTGTTGGATCATGTTTGAAATCATTGGAGTAGCTACACATTATGTGTAAACAACCATCAAAATCTATTACCTTACTGTGGCCTGTTCTTGTGTGTAATATGCTCTCCCTGTAGCTGCTAGCTTTCCTGCTGAAGATGAAGAGAAGTCTGGTCACCTACAGAACTCTTCAGTTGGTTCTGCATCTCTCAAGTTCAGTGGAGCTGAGCTCTGGATCTGGTTGCCTACAGAACATACCTGCTTTTCAAGATCTGCTGTGTGACCTGGAGGTGAGCATCCATAACATTCAGTGCATGCAGAGAATGGATCATTTTTGTGTCCAACCAGTATTAATTTGGAAAGTTTTTAATTGCGTCTGGAAGCTAATTGTTACAATTTTGTTGCTCTATCATTGTACTGTGTTTTCAGGTGTGGCAGAACACATCAGAAAATCTGGACCTTTCAGTTCTGAACCACATTGCTGAAATCTTGAAATCCTCGAGGTAATTTCCACAGCTATCAGCGTGCGACCGCACCACTATGTTGTAGCTTTAATCTAATTTGCTATTAACTTACATGACCAACAGGTTGCGTAACACAATAAAGAGGCTCTTGTTCAGGACTGATGACAAACTTTATCGGCTGTTCTGTCAACATCTGCAGCAGCCTGGCATCAATATCACAGAAATGTGCAACAGAAATAGTCGAGGGAATGTTGAACAGAATCAGTCACAGAGGCTGAAGAGAAGAGCATGACTAAACATGTGCATGGATTGCTGAATTAGATTATCTGTCTGTGGGAACAGATTGGGATTGATATTGGTGCTCTGTCTGTTTTTTCTCTCTGTGTCCTCAACAGTGACAGCAGGAATGCAGAGGTCATGCACACTGTAGGTCTGCTACCAAAGCTGCTATTCGAGCTTTCGGATCCTGCTGTGACCTTTCGGAAGGTGAAGATAATTTCCTGCGTCATCACATCTCTCCTGAAAGCTCACTTCACCCCTCTGGACATGAGCAGGTACTGGGAATACACTCTGTGTGTGCTCCTGTCATACAGTTTACACATAAAGATATCAGATTTATCATTTTTTTATGTATAGCTGTGTATTTAAAATATGTCCTTTTCTTTGGTCAGACTTGGGCTCTTTCTCATCTACACGCTCCCTCCTCTTAGTGACATGACTGAAGGCAAGGAGATATCTGAAAGTGATCTTTCCCAGGATGCACCAGGTACAACATATAACACACAAACACCACTTATACAGTACTTTCCATGTCTCATGGATGACACAAGTTTTTACCGGTACTGACCCAGACATGTCCACTCTGTGCTGTAGCTCAGAGTTCTGGTCCAGCCAGTCTCATCTTTATCCGCAACCAGCTGTTACTAGTGCTTTGTGAAATCTTCAACTCAGACAGCCTTCTAATCAAAGAGTGAGTAACATCTGTTGCTGTCTACATATTTGCCCAGTATCTCATGTGCCATAATGTCATGACAGGAGCATTAACTGAATTAGTCTGTCATGTTCTTATTCCCCACTAGTCAGCAGAAGGCAGTGTTTGATTCCTTGGGCAGTGATTGGTTCCTGCTCTTCCTTCAGCCCCACCTTCACCCTTCTACCTTGAAACTGGGTCTCGTCCTGCTTACGTACTTTCTGTCCAGTCCAGACCAGCAGAGCAGCTTCAGAGAGGGGGTGGTCCCTGGAACACTTATTGAAGGCATGGAGGAGCCTGTTGCTGTCATGGGTAAAACTGAATAATTTGTCACAGTGAAGCAGGGAAATAATTCAATGTTGTCATTTTGCCTCTTTCATTGGAATCAAATTGGGGTTATTTTTATATAGTTAGATATTCTACACCTAATTATATAAGTTATATTTATATTTTGGTTTTATTTAATATTTAAATAATACTTTTAGTCTTACTTTTTCAGTCTTATTGAATGTCATAAATTCACAGTCATTTAAAACTATTAGAATATTTTGAGTGTCTTCTATCATTGTTTTCTTGCCTTGTCACCAGACAACCTGCGAGCCCATTCTTGGTCTTATGAGTGCCTCACCACCACATGTCGAGGCTTTGATGTTCTGCAGGAGCTGCTGTTCAGACATTCTCACCTGCCTCAGGTGTATGAAGCCCTGGCTGCTCTGCTGCTGGGGGAAAAAAACAGTCACACTGCTGAGAGAAAGGTGGGTAATTTAAAATTTTTCTAAATGATCGTCTGAATCATCCCAGGCATAATGTTCTTATAATGTGTCATCTACAGGTGCATTTGGATGATAACCTGCAGTCACTGATTGACAGCCAAGCAAACACTCCAGCTCAGCAGCTCTGTGTTGAAGCTGCTACGATACTGCTGGAATTAGTCAAAGTCATAATTACTCAGGTAAGAATGTAATAACTTTGCATTTTCTCAGTATATTTGGCACAACTTGATAATGTGTAACACATTTTTCTTTTGTGTTTTAACAGCCTGCTCCTCCAACGAAGCACATGTCAGGCAGTGATGCATCATGGGAGTGGCAGCTCCCAGCAAGTGTGATGCAGTTCTTTTGTCTTCTCCATAACCTGCGGCCAAGAGACCCACTGTGGGCATCTCCAGAGTTCCTCCATGCACTCGCTGGAGTCGTGTACCCTCTGGACGGTTCAGAGGTTTGTGTGTTACTCTGGATTCATGAAACCTTTACAGTTCTACTCTCTCTGGTTTTATTCACTGGTGTGGTCACTTCTTTCAGGGTGTCGGTGAGCCCTGTCTGATGAGTGAAGGTGAGGACACATTCAGGAATTATCAAACCAGGAAGCCAGTGTGCGACTTCATCCGAATACTGCTAATGGACAGTCTTCTTAACGTTTCTGCCAACACCAACACAAATCCCCTTCTTCTGCTGCTGGAGGTGAATTCATACACCTATATATCTGTATATACACATACACACATAAATACTCCAGATATTATTACCAATAGTGCATTCCCACTGAAAAGGCTCTTCACTATACTACAATACTGCAAAACTCTCATGTCTCCAGAAGGTGCCACTCTTTGCTCAGTTACTGAATAAGGAAGAGACAAGGTACTGTTGATAAAATTAGTCACCATTAGGATGGAGTGAAACAACAGGCCAACAAGTACAGATTCCTGTAATGTTGGTTTCAGCTAGCCAAGACTAACCTGGATGCACACACACCAACACTAACAACTACAATTGAGATAATATTACAAAAGATGTTTCCTATCAGACGTAACAGAAGAAAGAGTCATCACATTTCTGTTGTTCGTCAGTTTCAAATCATATTAGATTTAGTTAGAGTAATTAGATTCTGTTTGCTAACTAATAAACTATATAAATGTTGCAGTTCTCCCCTAATGGTGCATTGCTGGAACAGAGGGAGACTTTCCACACTGAGCTGCTGGAGTTGATGATGGACATCATTCACATGCTCAGCCATGAGGAAGAAAACAACACTCATCTCAACTCACAAGGTAGAATTTCCATGCATGGCTTCCTCATGGCTGTAACTGGCCTGACTGTGTCCATGCAGAAAATTCTCTTATCTGAACGCATGACTTTTTACTGTATCCCTCAGGCTCAAATCCGAGGCCTGAAGGACAGATGGGCACATTAATGGAGAACGTGGTCCTCTTTAGTAAGACTCTGCTGCAGAAACTTTACAGTGGAACATTCTTGGGAGACTCTGAGAGTTTGATCAACTTCCTCGCTGATCAGATTGTGGTGGTGAGATGAACACATTGGCCTATTCTGACCTGGTATTAATGTCCATCTTCCGTGATCCAATCACATGTGGACAGCTCTAACTTACAGGTGTGCATACAAGTGCAGGCGTGAACACACCCAAGACGCATTGAGGACGCATTGAGATCCGATCACTCATTTTGAGGTGGTCCGGGCCACATGTGGCCACATTCTTTTAACAGTGTGAATGCCACATTGAAGGACCACCTACTCAACTGATGTCCTTTTCCACAGTCTGATTAGTCCCACCACAGTTTCATAATGAAACTAAAATATTTTACCATTTCAAATGGCTAAAGCCATACTCCATTGTTGTGCTGTGCTCAATGCAACCCCTTGCTCAAACCCTCTTTACCCCACTCCCTTTCTCTAGCTCTCTCTCACAAACACATCGACAATGGACCTGTCAAACTAGCTAAAAACAACTCACATACTTAGAGCTGCCCACTTGTGATGGAATTACCGAAGACGCCTGTTAATGTCAGGTTGGAACAGGGTCATAGAGACACTTCATATAGATGCTTATAAAATGTTTTCACCATAAATCTCACATTTGAATTCAAACTGAAAATTTATGTTAATCTGTAAATTGAAGTTGAAAATAATTTAATTGTCAACGTGGACACAGTTCCTTTTAATCAATAGGAGCTCTGGATTGTGAAAATGTGAAAAATAACAGATAACAAACTGTATATTTCTAGGTTCTGGAGAAAGGCCAAAGTCAGAAAGAGAAGACAGTGTCAGCCCTCTACTCATGCACCAATAAAGTCCTGCTTTATTTCCTGTCTCAACCGCGTCATTCCCATGAAGAAAAGGAAAGGGTCATCAGGGCGTTACAGACCTGGATGGAACGCTGGGATGTTGTCATGGCAACTTACAATGCAAACATGAACTTCATCACATGCCTTCTTCATTGTCTGTTACTGATACGATCTGGCAGGTAGTAGTGAATCCAGAACCCACATAACATGTCCAGGAAACTAGGATTCACTTTTAATTCACATAATCACATTTTTTTTTTTTTTTTTTGTAGCTACCCTCAAGGTTTTGGATGTCTGATGCAAAAAGTGCAGAAGAGGAAAACTTCATTCCACCTGTTTGCTACTACAGCCAGAGACTCTGCATGCCTCAGCAACAGAGCAGACAGCACCACAGGTATGAGGGGCCAGTATGTGAGGGTTTATTTACATTCATCATGTTATCCTGCCATGGAGTGTGGAGTCTGTGGAGGTTTACTGGGTTACTTGAGAAAGAAAAAATGTGTGTGTGCAGGTGTTCCAGATGACAGAGAACTAGTGTCCCTGGCGGAAGCCTGCTGGTCAAAGGTCATGACGGAGAGGCAACACACGCTTGAAGAGACCTATAAGATAGAGATCTCAGCAACACGCACAACAGGGTCCATCAGCATGACTGATATCAGCCCTCTCTGGGAGGAGACGGCACACAAAGCCTGGCAGCTACACAGAGGTTAGCTCTCACCATACTAAAAATGCAGTGGGAGAAGATTTTCTCGACATTTAAATTTTATTTGTCTTCAAAATATCGTTTTAGAGTCTCAGAAGCAGAAGGTGGCCAGCAGCTCCCAGAAGAAGTTTGATATGATCAGCAGTGCTGTTCGCTCAGCTTTGGGCAGACTTGGCAAAGAGTCAGTAACAGTAGAGGTAAATAAAATACTCATGTGACCTCAGTGTTTCTGGTTCTTTTGGGCACAGAGATGTGTGTGCTTATGATGGTTGTTCCCTTTGAGGAGTGTAGTGTCACCTTTTCTCGGGTGCACCCTGCATCCCAGAGCGCTGTGCCCAAACACTCATCCCAAAGTCACTGGTGTTTGTGCTGTGGGCTGTCCAGCCCTGTGGGGGTGTTTGATTATTTCTTTAAATGGATTTGGATTATCACAGCTGATTGCCCCTGAGTGGGCATAGTAATTGATATCTGTTAGGCCTATCCATGGGAACACTCACTACAACACACTGTTTGCTGCTGAAGGTTAAAGACGCGTTTATTGTTGTTTTTCCCCCCGAAACACGTGGCCCACATCATTAGTTCCCCCACAACGCTTAAGACGTCGAGCCATCTGGAGCAGGGAGCGGGGACATATTACTCAGGCACACAGGCATGAAATTACCGCGTCTGTGTGTCTGTCTCACCCCCACAAAGTGTGTGTGAGTCTGCGTGTGTGTGTTCTTGTTTGTGCACGTCTCTTGCCTACAGAAATCGGGTTGGCAATTATAGTGGTACCAATCTGATGAAAACATTATTCATTTGATGTTATTCTTTATCATATCAGTCTTTGACAGGCTATCAGAGAGGGTGATGAATTGTTTTTCCATCTGAGAGGTAGGGAAGAAGAGGGAGGGACGTTCGCCTGCTCCCTCTCTGCAGTGTGTTGCACCACTTTGCTCTGAATAGGTTGCAGCATTCAGCGAGTGTTCACAAAATGATATTCAAATCTTTAGTAATGGTCAGCCAGTCTGCTCATTTTTCCATTCATCCTCATGAAAAAACAAGTGAGCCATTAATTAATTTCTGGATCATCAACTTATGACCTTTTATTTGGCAAGTCATGAGCTTATGGGGAGTCTCTTTTCAGTCACTGGATCCATAGGAATGCATTTCTACGGAGCACGGGGCACAGTTTCCGGGTCTCAGATATCTACTTTTACTGAACAAAAAAATAATTTTAAAGCCTACTGTAGGTAATGAATGAGAATATAGAGACTGATAGGCAGACTGTGTCCTCAGTCAAGCTTCAGTGCAATCCTTCTAGAGATTTATTTCATCAGCGAATGCAGTTTCCATAATCATATCTGTGTCCTCATATTAGAAAGATAATTAACAGCACTAATGATCACGTTAAGTTCATTACACATTCACTGCCAGCCCAGAATGAAGTTGACATTATGTTGCCTTATCATCAAAGGTGGCGTATTGTTGGGAAGTCATTAAAATGGAAATGAGTGTGATGTTCTGATGTTAATTGCAGAGGGAAGAGATGAGTTATGTATTTAATGCAACATTTAAAAAGCCAATGAGGTTCCTATCTGCTAAATAGGGTAATTAATGCTATATATTACTTATGTTTGGCCAAATGAAGGAATGAAATTAGGAGATGATGACGCCGACTTGCTGTTTATCTGTCACAACACGGCTCTAGTTTGCAAACTTCATTATTACTCTCTTTTCTGTCTGTAATATTTCTATAATCTCCCCTCAAATTACTCCTTTATTTCTTTCTCTGCACAACTTCTCATTTGGATAGGCAGTCAGTCATTTAGAGAAACAGTTTTCATTCTCCAGAGGGCTTGTCAAAGTTTGTTTTCAACTTTTATGCATGGGTTTTTTCTGAAATTGTCGAATTTCTGCATCTCTTGCGTTACAGAAGTTGTTTTCTTTTTAATGTACTTGAAATCAATTATTGCATTCATGGCGTTATAGAGCAAAACACAGAATTAACATCTGTAAATAAGGCTCGATATAAAGAGTTACTGCATGTTCATTCAGTCAATTAAATGGCTTTCCTGGGTCAGCTGTGAGGATGGACACATGTTGTTTCACTAGTCTCTCAGCGAGCACTGCTGTGATGATGGGCTTAATGAAGCAGTTAACAGTCAGAATATGATCCCAGTGTGTCTGCTGAACATGAGCATCCTGCAGTGTCAACACGGCTCTGTTTTGGGTTTTTCTATTTTTTTTTTCTTTTCTTTTTTTTTTTCTTTTCTCTTTTAATCGACACATACACACTCACTCACACACAATAAAGGCGCATGCACACTTACCTTGCCCTTGACTGTGGCGTGGCTCAGTGATATTAATGTTTATGTTAATCAGATCACACCAACAAATGATTACATTTCCAGACAGGGTTATTGTAACACTGTAGCCACTAGCTTATTTTGCCCAGTGAATGCAATTTAGAACAGATGTAATTGTATGAATGCATTGTAATTGCATGAGGAAACAACAATACCATTATGAATATACAATCTCTGTGAACATAATGTGTGTTGTGTGTGTACAATATGAGCTAGAGGAAGAGCGATTGTACAACCCGCTCTTTTCATTTGCACCCATCAGGTTACTCTCCTTTCTTTGTAGGAGTTTCTGTCCTGCATGGAGTCACATCGACACAGAGGCCACAGCATGTTTGAGAATATGAGGACAAACCACTTACAGGTTTGACATAAATGTTACTGTGAATATACTGAAATTAATGTTGTTAAAAAGCCAAAATTAGATGCATAATAATGTTCTCTGTCTCATTTATTACCTCCATCCTGGGCCTGTTTCTACATCGCAGTTACAAGCCAGTGAGTGGGAGCGAGTGAGCTCCAAGTGGCTGTATGTGGAGGCCGAGCTGCTGAGGGAGAGAGCTGTGTTCGGCCCTGGCCCAGGGGTGCTACTGAGCCGAGACTGGGTGCAAGACTCTGTTGAAGGACCGAACCGGACCAGATCACGCATCCGCAGAAAAGCTTTGAGACGAACTAGACGGGTACAGCCTTTCACTTTAGAGCAGAGTCCTATTTAGTGTTCATATAGTACGCAGTCTAACCTTTAACAGTGTCATATGTTGTTACAACAGGTGCTGGGAACACTGAGTCTGGGTTTAAGGACTGGCATATTTGAGGACATCAAAAACAGAACAGAAGGTGACAGAGGTTAAGAGTAGTGTTGCCTTTTTTAAGTTTGACTTTATTTGCTACAATGTGGGTGTTGGATGTAAGTTCAGTGGAAAAATATGTTTCCTTTGTAACAGAGCCCAAGATCCTGTGTGAAGTTGGTGCAGAGGCTAAAGAGGATGAAGAAGAGGGAGGACAGGATTGTGAACACCTGACCTTCTTCCCAGTTCTAAATGAGACCCCTGCTGTGACTGAGGGTCCACCTGACCCCTTAACCCCCGAACCCTGCTCCCACACACAAGACTGCACTGACATACGCATCATCCTGCAGGACCTGCACCCTGGAGAGGAGGTACTGTAGCACAGGAGGGTTTGTCGGTATGCTGGGCTAAAAACAACATGCATAAACACAAACACAGCTCCTTCCCACCCTACTAATATTCACAATCATAATTATCTGATGTAGACTGAGGGATTCCAATAGCCCAGCGCTGCTATCAGAATTTCATCTTTCCTCATTAGTGTAATGTTTTAATGTCGAGGCCCAGCTCAGCTCTTCTCATTCTTCCAGTGAGTTAGAAACCAAAGCACATGTTGACAGGGACTCTCATCGCTCCGGCAACCAGCCGCGGCTTTTAATGTTTCTGACAGAAGTATTAATAAAAACAGTAGGAGGTGATGCAAGCTGTCTTACATCCGCTTAGTAAGTGTGTGATGTGTGCTTGTGTGTCCTGTTGTCTTGCAGTGGTTCATTGTGTGAGTCCTGCTGAGCTTCCTGTCAAATGAACACAGTCATTAGCTCTGAAAAATGCACACACACACACACACGGACTAACACACACACACATATAGTTACACACAAAGGGAGACCCACTCATAATTAGCTTGCCAGCGCCAATAGTGTGATTATGACAGTAATGTGTATGGGGAGAAATCAATGGTCTGACATTAGGCTCTCAGTCAATAAAAGTCCTCCTTTTCTCTCCTTCTTCCCATCATCAGCTAAATCACCCTCAGACTGATAACGCATATCTGTCCAGAGCACAGTAAGGCGATAAGGAAACAAGTTTATTGTTATGTATTTAATGTTTGATAACAATAAATTTAACAATTTTTTCTGAAATCTAGTCATTGTTAGAGACAGTAGGCCTGATACCAATTTATGTTCACTGATGGAAACTGCCACAAAATCTGACCATGATATAGCTTAATGTAAGATTTCTGTGCCATGTGGCTGAGACTCACTCACCTTGACTCTTCTTAAACCCTTTTACATGACAAGTGATATTATCCATCATAGAGTGTCTCTATGTGTGCATTTAGACAAGAGGTTCTGATCACTTAGCAGGTTTCCTATTGTGTGTGTGGCAGTGATTAATTCTCCTAATAATGGCCAGGCATGGCCTCCTCCTCCACCAAGTGTGTGACTCCGTGTCTGGGGGTAGGGAGTTTGATTTGATTAGTATAAATTGTGAGGGGCCTGCGGGTATGTTGGGGCCCCATATGGTTTTTGGGCGCTGTGTCCCAGAGGGCCTGCAGAGGGGCCAACACAGAGAGACAGCCAGGTGCACACACTCACTGTGAAATGAGGGGAGACAATAGAATTAGCCACACATTATCACAATGCAGTTAGCATTAGCTACAACCGGCGCTGAAAGCAGCATGTGGGTCCACTTTGGCACTGGATGAAACACACAGTCACACTGCTGAAAAAGGGGCCGGGTCTTTTCATCCCCATCAATCAGCTCTGATAATGAAGTGTTCAACTGTGTCTTTTTAATAATGATTAAAATATGTGATTAAAATGATCAATCAAGTAAAGCCTGAAGTGCCTGTGTTGCTGCCATGTCATGTCCCAGGAGAGAAACGTGCTGATGTGTATTATGCCTCTCACATAGGGCTTAATGTATCTCTCTCTCTCTCTCTCTCTCTCTCTCTCTCTCTCTGTGTGTAGGTAAAGGCTAAGATGTGTGTAGTGATGGTGAGTGGCCTCAGAGTGACAGAGGGGGTGCTGCTGTTTGGGAAGGAGAGCCTGCTCCTGTGTGAGGGATTCACTCTCAGTCCTACTGGGGATGTTTGTTGCAGGAAACACCATCCTAGCAGGTACACCTGTGTGTGCCGTGTATTTGTGTGCAGCTACAGAAAAACATATAAGCATAGCCACTCATTCGGCTCAATTCGTTATCCATCATTCTCTGTGTCTATTTCTGTCTCTGCCAGTGTGCGGGATTCCTTCATTTCCACCATGCTGAGTAAAGAGCTGCCATCAGCTCGCTGCAGACGCTGGCTCTATGAGGATATCAAGGAGGCCCGCTTCATGCGTTTCCTTTTGGAGGTCAGACATCCAAATGCTCCCAGAGATACCTTGAATTAACTTGCATCTTATATCCAGATTCTGTCTATACAGGATTTAGCTTGAATACATTCACATTAGTTTTTCAAATTTGTCTCTGCACAAATAGAAATCAGCTTTGTTGTGTATTTTACTTACAGTTGTTTTCGATTAATCAAGAATCAGTCAAGGTACATGTTAAGTCTGGGTTTACAAGGGATGTAAGAGATAAAAATATCTACTGCACAGAAATTTCATGCCTGAGTAACTAAAGAGCCACTGTGTCTGTCAGGACAATGCTATCGAGGTCTTTATGAAAAATGGACACTCAGCCTTCCTGGTATTCCTGAATAAAGACCACGTCTCTGCATATAAAAGGTACCACATTTATAAAGATTGGATCTTAAAAAATTGTTTTTATTTTTTATATTCTGACCCTGATCCTTATTCTTCCCTTTCTCTGTCTTCCTGCAGGTTGTGCACAGTAGTGCCAGCATTAAAAGGCAGAGGGGTTGCTGAGGTCATTGCTAATGCCAGGTAAGTGTCATCAGTTAATCAGTCATCCAACAGCAATATTTCAAGACAATTACATGTAATCACTATTTTTATTTCATCTATTGAAATGTAAAATACATCAATAAAAATAGTTGTGTGACATATAGATAGATATTATGCACATATAATTAAAATTTGTGTGCCTGCTTAAAAATGACATTGGTTCCATTTGTTCTGTAGTTTAAGAGGATGCCAGCAGCTCTTTGGTCATTTGATTGTCTTGTGTTCCACCTTCCTTATTCTCCACGCATCCTGATTGACTGTAGCGACTGAGTTTGGCGCTATCAGTCCTGCATAAGTTCTTATCCTTTTCTCCTCAAACATGTCACCTCCTCCTCTCCTTTCTCCTCCTCCTCCTCCTCCTCCTCCTCCTCCTCCTCCTCCTCCTCCTCCTCCTCCTCCTCCTCCTCCTCTCGTAAGCCTTTCCCCCTGCTCTTTACATCTTTTAAGGCATGTCCTACACAGGCTGCTCTCATGTACCAGGTACACATCTCCCTCTGGTTCTGATTTTTCCTTCAGCATCCCCTCAGCATCCCCCTGAGCATACGATAGAGGATTTCGTTTCATGTTCACCTTAGTGAGGTTTCGTAGGGCGCTCAGAAACTCTGGTAGGTTGATGAAGAGGTTATCAAATAGGCCTAACTCTTGGAGATTGCCTAGAGCTGCCATAGTGGTAGGCAGAGTGTCCAGCTGGTTCATCCCCAGATTGAGACTCTTCAGACTGGTGAGGAAACCCAGTGTGGAGGGTAAACCTGCAGAGGTTAGGCGGTTGTTGGAGAGGTTGAGGTGGGTCAATCCCACCAGGTTGCTGATGGACTCTGGAACAGACTCCAGCTTGTTGCTGTGTAGATCTAGCCATCTCAGTGATGAGAAGTTCCCGATGTTATCTGGGAGTTTCTGTATCAGGTTGCGGCTGAGGTCCAACTCATCCACGTTGGTCAGTTTGAGGAGACACTTTGGGAAGATGGTTATACCCATGTTGCTAAGGGTGAGTCTGCGCCGTCCATCTGGTGTCATACGTATTGCCTTTTTGGCAATCTTGAGGGTCACCTTTGTCCCTTTGGCTCCCTTTCCTTTGGGCATGGTACTGCAACACACACACAGCTCAGTTTAAAATTTCTGCTCAATTTCACTTTTGTGATAGCTGCCCCCAAGAGGCTGATTTACAATAATTTATCTAATCTACACCGCCACACAGTGCTATAGCAAATAAATGTGTTGTGTGTATGTTTACGTGTAAGTATGCGTGTGTAAGGCTGATGTGATTTATTCAGATACAAGGGCTTATGTATGGCCCAGGGCAGTAGGCAAAGCATGCTCTCTGAGGAATGAGAATCTGAGCGGTGTGTGTGTCTCTGTGAGTGCACGTGTGTGTGTGTCGCAGTGTTATGTCTGCACTAGTGCGTGCTCACCCAGTGTTGCCCATGGGGGTATTTAAGAGCACGACTCTCTAATTAAGGCTAATGCTGGGGAACAATAGGAGAGAGGCGACACTGGATAATACAGCAAAAACAAATGAGTGCTGATGCTCCCTCACCATTCAACTGATTGAGCTGCTTGGCTTTTTTCAGGCAAGGAAGATGTGTGCGCGTGTGTGTGTGTGTGTAGGCCATCGACATGCAAGTGTGTTGACAGACATGGATGCACTATACTAGAGTGCATGTACACAAAGAGTCAAATCTGGACTTTGATAAATGATAGATAGGGAGTGTTGGGAGTGTGATGAGGGCTTCGCTCTTCTCCCCTCCTTGTCTAAAAGAGCAAGGTGTGTGTCTGTTTGTGTCTGTGTTACACCCCAAGGCCCTCTCTCGCCTCATTCATCATCCTCAGGATGAGAGAGGTTATCCACTGGTGCTTGTTCCCATTATAACCTCCTATAGAAAACTATTGCATGAAATTATTGCCTGCAATTAGATAACACATACAGGGCCAAATGCAATGATTGATTTAGTGTAGTTTTACAAAATAATTTGGTCAGGAGTTATTGAACAACGGAAGGAGTTATTGGTCCATTTACGGTATGCATGTCTATTTTTCAGTTGGTGTCTTACTGTATTCTTGTTTAAAATGTTTATCTACATTTTCAACATAAATTAAAATATGTACTCACCATATTTTGTCTTCTTTTTTTCTGATTTGGCCTCAATCAAGTGATGAGATTGTCGTCAGTTTTTGAAACACACCAACAGCTTTAGTTTCGGTGAACCGGCCATTCAGCTCGAAGCCTCTCCCTCCTGTAAATTACATTTCCAGCGTGGTCAACATGTTGAAGTTGTATTAATATTACCTGGTAATGCTGTCTCACAAATTATGTTGGTGAAGTTGAGAGGAAAGGTCAGGAATGCACCATTTGTGTATATCAACATTTCCTTAGCCTCCCCACATAAAACAGAGAAAGTCCAGGTTCCTCTTGTTTAATAGCGTTACTTAGCAACTGGGGTGCTTGGCGCCAGGACTTTATTGCCATGTTACTGGCCCACAGAGGGAAAAGAGATTTCAGGAGCAGTTGAATGCTTTGCCAACTTAGATGAAACAAGTTTAGATAGGTATTCCTTGAGTAAAATACTTGATAAAATGTTCAGCAACATTGTCATTTAGATGTTTTGTTTGGCTAAACACACACTCTGGTAGATTAATTGAAAACAAGGTATTTTGAATGAGCAGTTTTTGTGCTCAGCAGTTTGTTAAAGAGCAACTTTTAAGTGTGTGCCTCCTTTTGAATGGATACCTATTAAAATATTTACATTAGTAAAATGAAATAAAAAACAGCAGGAGAAGAAACTAATGTTTGTCTTAGCTATGAAGCAGGAAATCACTGATTATTCTTGGAAATCAGTGAACTGTTCTGTGACAGAAATTTGAAAGAAAGTTATTGTTCCTGTTTGACCAGTAATGAATAACCTCTGTATATCAAAGCATAGCATTTAAAAAGTCACTGTAGAAGGAAAATATTACTTCCTCTTTAGAGTAGCTGACTTTGCTGATGGAGACTACCACACGAGTTCCAGTGTTACTGAAAGTACATTTCCTCAGAGCCTACAGATGGCACCATGTGCTACATCCTTACTATTTATGCTACATACTGTAGCTAGCCTCAATCCCATAACTGCTCCTACAGCTGTGTACACACAATTTCTGTTTCCTGAATCACTCACTCACCTCCACTCTGCTGCTTCTGAACTCTGCTGTGTTACATTTCAACACTGGTTGCTAGGCAACAGAGCAAGCAAAAAAAAACTTTGTGTTGGTAGGCACTGCTCAGTGATCAACCTCTGATGCTAATTCAAGGTATTTGTTTTTATTGTGTTTTAGAAAGACTCCTGTGGTTGAAAAGACAGCCCTTGTTAAATGGCAGGTAATGCAATAAACACGGCTCTTCATCCATTTTGTTTTTGTCTGAGTTGTTTGTGCTCACAGATTCAGTTCTTACTCCTTTCACATCAGTAATGAATGACTGCTCAAATGTTGATATGACATGAGGAGTAATCCAGCTCTAGTTTTGATTATAAATGTATTCCTGTGTTTAGAGAGGTATTTATATTATTCTTGTCTGTGCTCTAGAAAGGGGAGATAAGTAACTTTGAGTACTTGATGCATCTGAACACCATCGCTGGGAGGACATACAATGACCTGATGCAGTATCCAGTGTTCCCTTGGGTCCTAGCTGACTACCAGTCAGAGGTAGGATCTCACACAACACAGATAACCTTTATATTGAAGTTCAGGCACCATGGTAATAAAACTGTTAGTGCTTTTGTTACACCAAGCCATTGTATAATGTATATAACATCTATCGAATATTCTATGTGGTGTGTATATTTTCTCCTTACCCTCATCCCATCGTATTTACTCCTCAATAGACACTTGATCTCTCAAATCCTGCGACCTTCCGTGATCTGTCTAAGCCAATGGGAGCTCAGACAGAGAAAAGGAAGCAGATGTTTATCCAGAGATATGAAGAAGTAGAGAACAGCGAGGGTGAAGGTATCTGTTCGTCTTATCACTCTTCATTCTTCTCACCTCTTCTATTCACTGTACTTTTTATTCAGCACACTGTGTGTCCTTTTAAAAATGGTTCACTCTCTAGGAGATTTGTCAGCACGATGCCACTACTGTACCCACTACTCCTCAGCCATCATCGTGGCGTCCTTCCTTGTCAGGATAGAGCCGTTTTCACACACTTTCCAGACACTGCAGGTGAGGCCTTTAACACCAGGAAATGCAATAAAATATCCAGACTAAACTCACAGATGGAAAACTGTCATTTTTTTGCCCTTTGAAACAATAAGCTGGTATTAGATAAAATCCTGTGGCTCACAGCACACAGTGGATGTGACCTTAATAGGTATGTCGGTCACTTGCCTGACTAACCTATTTCCACAGAAACTTCTGCAGTTAAGAATAGCATTGAATAGAAAGTATTTTTCTCTGTGTGAAACCACTTTACTGGTTTGTACAGTAACAATAAACACATCCATCACATGTAAAAGTACAATACTTTTTATCAGCTCATTGAGAGGTCAATACTAAAAGCTTAGAATCATATATATTAAAATGCTAAATTTACTGGATGAGTTTCTGAACCTTTGACAGCAACCATTTTTGTTGCATCAATTCATGGCTCATCTAATAGACTGAAGCTCTGCATACTCTTACACACATGAATACAAATATACATGTATACACACATTACAGTAAGTGATAAATGTATGACGTATAAGATATAAAGGTGGATCACTTCCTGAATGTAATCACTGCTGATCACTGTAGGTTTTGTCTTAAGGAAATGTATCAGTCTGTTCAGTCTGTTCATTAACCCACAGGCCCCTCTGCAAACCCAGTGCTCCAGATGCCCATTGACGTTCATCACTTTGTCATTTTTTATTTTCGAACGTAACCTTGCTAATAATATGACTCTAATATGAGCTATTTTCAGCACTCCAGACCCTCTTTCAGTGCTGCTTTTGGTATGGAAGCAGATTATAGGGAGATTTCAATATATATGCAAATAATTACAGAAAGCATCAAAAAGAAGCCAATGCAAATAGCCACAGATGTTACCAATTTATGATGCAGCTTCCAATTGATTAGAATGAAAAGGCATGCATTTGATAGTCAGAATAAAGCAATAAAAATGTTAGTCTGGTGCATTACAGTGCCTTTTTGTCTTCTGAAGCGTGTAACGGGTGTGTAGTAATATCCATAACTGAATTTACATCTCTAACTGAGTTTACCAGTATATATGCTATTTTCATTCATTGAGGTAATTGTTTTACTCTAAATTACATTCTCTCTCATGAGATTTCCGTTACAGATTATGGAATTTTACAGAAAGATGAAAAGCTTTCTTCAAATAGCAAATCTTTCCCCCTTACATAATACAATGAAGAATAAAAAAATATAATTCACAGCACAGAATCTTGCAGACTACTTTAGTAATATGCAAAGTTTAGTTCAACAGTGTGCAGAGGATCTGACAGTGTTGTGCCTCGTCTCCCTGACAGGGAGGGTTTGATATCCCAGAGCGGATGTTTCACAGTGTAAAGAAGGAGTGGGAGTCGGCCTCCAGAGACAACATGGGCGATGTCAGAGAGCTGATGCCAGAGTTCTTCTACCTGTCCGACTTCCTGCTCAACTCTAACCACATCCAGCTGGGTCAGACTCAAAAATCATCCTCTGTGTATCTAAGTGAATGACTCAAAGTATGAACTTCCTGTTAAGATATTTGCCTTGTGCAGACAATTGTATTAGTAATGCACTCAAAGGATTAGGCTAGCAATATTCTTATTTTTCTTATTGTCCAGACCAAAGCCAGCAATGTGTCTCTCTCTGAGTACTTTCTGACTTTCTTACCCTATCTGTGACTTTCAGCCCTGAGCCCATTTGACCTGGGTAGTGTAGTTTTTAGAAAAACGTTACTCATACAGTACAAGAGTAAATAGTGAAGCATTTTCATTATTTTCATATTAAGAGATGGTCTAATGAGCATTTACAGCAGCAGGATGTTGTATTTGGGGCTGAAAAAATAAAAATAAGATAAACTACAGTGCACATGTTCATTGTAATGAGGAAACATATCACCTATTTCAACCATCTGGGTCATTGATGTGTTTTTAATAGTTTTTGGACAACAATGGAGGTATGTGCCACAGAGGAATTAGCCTTATTTGTTTCAGGCTACACAGCCAATACTTTTTAGTACACTTTATTTTGGGTTTGGTCTTAAAGAAATACAATATCACCAGCCTTATCCTCTAAAGGTATCGCATAACACAGGTGCTAATGCACGCACAGTACATGCGTGTCCTCATGCATGTGCAAGTTGACACACAAACAAAACGGGGAACCGCTCATCAAAACATTGCTCCATAGTGCCCTCAGTGGCAAAAAAACTCACTGTGATGTGATGTGACCCAGAATGCTGTATGTACTATATGTCCATATCTTTGTAGGTTGTTTGGAGGATGGTACTGCTCTGGGAGATGTGGAGCTGCCTCCTTGGGCGAAAGGTGACCCCCAGGAGTTCATTAGAATCCATCGAGAGGTCAGTGACCCCCGACCCCACCATGCCTGTCTGTTACAATTGGCCAGTCTGGCCTGTTACAAACAGGGAGCTTTCCCATAAGACCTAATAATGTTTGTCAATACTAACAGATGTATGTACACAGAAAATGCACTGTTTTAGTATCTTAAAAGTAGTATAAGTATCCACTGTAACAGTGCTGGTAGCTGCCAATTTATTTGTCTCCATTCTTTCTACCACAGTATAAGAGACAGATCTTATTCACAACAGCCACTGTCATATTCGTGATATTCTCTAAAGGCCATCTTGTGCCACTGAGTTTGGTTCAGTTGAATTCTTTTAGTACTGACTGTTTTCAAATATAAGGAGCAGTTGTTTTTCTTATCAAGAAATTGCATGAAAAGGCAAAGAAGTTTAGATGACAGATGATGAAGGACAACAAGCCTATTTAACACTATTCAGGGCAGGCACAAGACAGTCTTTTTCATAATGCCATTATTTCTGCCAGCTGTTTATGGGCTGAATATTCTCTCTCTTTTCTCGGCTCTTTCTTCTCCTTCCCTGTGTGGGGTTATTGTATAACTCTGCTCTTTTCCTCTCTGTTGGTCTGATTTCTTCAGAGTGTGACCCTCCCTTTTTCCATTCCTGGGGCAACTATGATGGTTATCACTCTGTAATCTACTGAACTACTCATATTGCCTAGCATTCTCATAAAATTAGTGACTTTAGAAGATTGTTTTTTTCTTCCATAGACAAATTAACTGAGGACAATATATCCTCCTTATGATGTTTTTTTTTTTAGTTTTTTTTTTTTTTAGTTTTCGGTTATTCCAGGATGGGTTTATTAAGAATGGGTGCAGGGTATGGCTGGTCATAATGCCCACTTTTCCTTATTAACTCTTCAAAACCAATCTCTGGGTAATTTTACTGAAATCATTCTTTAATTCTAACATGAAGATATGCTCATAACCCAGCTGTGCAGCTTCCTGCTGTTCCAGACTTCTAAATTGACTTTTGGAAGAAATCATACAGTACCTGAATAATTTGATTGGTTGTGCATTCTGCTATAAGTTTTTTTGTGTTTCTAAACTCTCATTTTAAGAGTTTGACTGATGGTTTTAGTCTCACTGTAATAACAATGAGCACTGCATACCTCTGTATTGCTTCATTGCACTGCTGCATAATGCATCATAGTAGTTTTGTAATGGTAGTTGACTAGGTGTTCTTAGTTTGTGCAACAATCTCCTGCACTGTTTGCCTTAGGTGTTGGAAAGTGACTATGTGAGTTCCCACCTCCACCTGTGGATCGACCTAATTTTTGGGTATCGGCAACAAGGTCCAGCTGCTGTAGAAAGTGTCAACACGTTCCATCCTTACTTCTACGCCCAGAGAGGTTGGCAGAATTCTAAGGACCCCCTCATAAAGAGCACAATCTTGGGATACGTCAGCAACTTTGGCCAGGTTCCCAAACAGGTAAAAAGAATTGGCTTGGGGAAGCAGAAAAGACTTTCTGCATGTAGGTGTGTCATATTGTTTTTAAAAATAATTCTTCTTTGTGAATCACCTGCTTCTTTTCCATAGCTCTTCACCAAACCACATCCACCTCGCAGTGGCTCTAAGAAGGAAGGATCAACACCACCCCATCCAACTCCATTTTTCTTCAAACTGGATAAACTGAAGACTACTGCGCAGCCATTCAGAGGTACAGGCAGATAATAAAAGAGGGACCTCAATTATCTTAATCTTAAAGGAATTGATACCACTCTCATGTCTGTGCACTTTATGCCACAGCCTGTAGTCAATTAACTTATCTTAGTACAAAGGCTAGAAACAGGTGGACACCGGCTACCAACACCTTTAAAGCTTGGTTTTACACTATTTTTCCATACAGTATTAAACATATATATAACATATTCCTTAGTCAGCTTTAGAGGGGCTGGTAGCCAGATATTTTTTTTCACCTTTGTACAGAGCCAGGCTATCCGTTTCCCCGTGTTATCAGTCTTTATGCTATGCTAAGCTAAGCTAAGCTAATCAGCTGCTGGCTGTAGCTTCATATTTAGCATAGTCTCAGCCAAAATGTCAAACTATTCCTTTAAATGAAGGTCTGAAATTAAAGTATTATAATATAACCGTGTAAACAATGGATATCAAACAACTGAATCAACAAAGCTATTTTCTGCTGAGTAAACTAAATTCAATCAATTATAGTCATCTGCATTTGGCATTATTGTATATTGTTCCACCTTTATTTTATTTCACACCGTTTGATGTCAATTATTATATACAAGATGCACCCAGGTCTCAAGGGAATCATTGAAACAGAGCGAGAATGTCCATAGATTAATTTACACTATGGAAGGGTAGAAGGAGCTATCTGTTAGAGCTACAATATGGAGATGACTCTTCCGCTGAGCCCTACTTAATAATCTGAATATCCCTACAGGCCCACTGAGGGAGAGGAGATGAATCTGCGAATGCTCAGGGAGAGATTCCTGCATATTACATTTCATATTAAATCTTAGAGTGTCTGATCTGATCAATAAGCAGATAGAGATGAATAGGAGGAGGAACGCTAAGACTAATGTAGACACGAGTTCTTTCTGGGGATTTTAGAAGCAGAACTGGTGAAAGGATATAATGATTTCTGCCTGTTCCTGCATGTACAGGTCAATTACAGGCACAATTACAGCCGCTCTTTCACTGCCTCGCCCACATATACACACACACGCACACGCACGTACAACTTCCAGGATGCTGGTGTCCCCCTAGGAGAGAGTCTTGCTCAGCTTTTTGTAACCTGGGAATAGCTGTTTTAATTGCCCAGTTTTCTGTGGTCAGTTTAATGAAATTCTTTACAAGTTTACTGAGCTACCAAACTCTTTAATGTGATGTTTCTGAACAGCCATTACCTTTATTTGGCCAGGCAAGTTTATTCAGGTACACAAAAGGCAGAATGAGGTCACCATTACTTTTTATGGGTGCATATTGTATAACTGACAATTTTCTTTAAAAAAAAAAAAAAAAGCGGCCACTTACTTTCTTTCTCAACTTTTTACTCACGGTGCCCCGTGCTCAATAACACTGTAAACCCCTCTGCAGAGCTGACAAGAGGCCCAGTGGGTCAAATACTGTGTCTGGAAAAAGAGGTCTTGGTCCTGGAGAGAAACCGGGTCCTCCTGTCCCCTCTGTCGACCTGCTTCTTCAGCTGGGGCTTCCCAGACAACAGCTGTGCCTTTGGAAACTATGCCACAGAGAAGGTACGTGTGTGGTGTTACACAGTAGTTTAATTTTACATTCAATTTCGCACAACCCTCTAGGTCCACCTAGTTGCATGAATCAAATTGAAATGAGACAACTTCAAATCTTGTGGAGGCCCACATTGCACATCCATGAAGCATGGACTTGTTTTTAAATGAGAGAATTGGATTGATAAATTCATTACATTATAACAACATACAACTTTTACTCCCTTTTATTGATAAGTGCTCTGTATCAGTCTTAAACACATTTGCGGAAACTTACTTGAAATTTTATCCAGTTTTATCTCATACATATGAAGCATCTCACTGGGTTTGGGTCAAGCCACACACACCAACAGCTAATCAGTATCATATCCATAAACTCATTCACTTAATCCAAACACACATAAACCATGTCATGACGGTGCTATGTATGTCCATCTCTAGATCTTTGCTGTGTGTGAGAGTTTATGTGATTGGGGCGCGACATTGTGCGCAGCCTGTCCCAACCCGACGACCGTCATCACCGCAGGAACCAGCTCCGGGGTGTGTGTGTGGGATGTAGCAGTCAACAAGGACAAACTCTCTCACATGAAACTCAGACAGGTTCGTTTGTCTCTGTGTTTGTTTGCTCCAGAGATTTAACAGTAACATCCAGAGTGTATTGGTAAACATAGTCATGTATACACACATTCAGAATAACACTGACCCAATTTTTCCTCACAGCCGTTATACGGTCACACAGATTCAGTGACATGTCTGGCGGTGTCAGAGGTCCACAGCTTGATAGTAAGTGGCTCCCGTGACCTCACTTGTATCCTGTGGGATATGGAAGAGCTAAGCTACATCACCCAGTTAGCAGGACACACAACCGGCGTCTCTGCACTGGCTATCAATGACCTCACCGTAAGTCCACCTCCTTAATCATCCTCTCTACCTTCGCTCCTCTCAAAATCTCTCTCCTCCCTTTCTTTTGTTCTGTGTAATTTTTGGCACACTGTTCATTCAGCTGACAGCATGAGGAAGGGAGGATTCTTATTGTTGATGGCATGTGTATCCTCTTTGTGTGTGTTTTGCTTTTTTTGTGCATCTCTGTGTATATTTGTGCGCACATGGGTGTCAACACCATGTTGCTGTTTTCTAGGGTGAGATTGCGTCATGTGCGGGACCTCTGCTCTACCTGTGGACCATGAAGGGTCAGCTGTTGACTTGCACTGACACTTCCTGTGGGCCTCAGGCAGACATCCTGTGTGTAAGCTTCACACAGCGACACGAGTGGGACGCCAGGAACGTCATCGTCACTGGCTGTGCAGATGGCATCATAAAGGTGATTTTTTTTTTTCTCTTTGTACGACTTGTACATAGGGAGGAGAGGTTGCTCTGTGTAGTCGCTACTTTTGCATTAGCTCTGCAGATAGCGGCTTGGATGTCCATCAACGTATTAATAACAGTATATGGGTTGAGTGTGTGTGTGTGTGTGTATATGTGGGTGTGTGTGTAACTGTTTATGCCTAGGATTAATATAAACCTATGATGCCTCTCTGCAATCAAAGCAGCAAACTCCAAATTAGGCTTCACTTGGGAGTGGGTGTCCATGCCACATGCACAGCACACACACAAATGGTATTATTACTTTATTATTACCTTGAGTTATGGGGTGTGTGCGCGTGCTGGTGCGTATGTGAGTGTGTTTTGTTATTATGTTGAATTATGTCTGATTTTGCAACTCGTTATGTGTCTCTCATACAGATATGGAAGACAGAGTACACCAGAACACAATTACCTGGCCCTCCAGAAGAGCCTGTGTCCCCAGGGCAAGACCGAACAGAGAGAGACGGTAATGTTACTGGCAGTAGGATCAGATATGCATGTAGGTGCTGTATTTATAACAACACAGATAATGGGAGTGGCTGACAGTAGCACAACTGTGAGACTGACTAAAATGCAGCTGCTCAAAGAGTTTCATGTCTCAAAAAGAAACCTATCACTAACTAATTAGATAAATCCTGAAGTGTGAGATGATTATTTATAACCGCTCATCTTAGAGCTAGACAGCATGATTTCCAGATGAGAGATTATAATGCTTACCCCATCCCTCACTAGCGTTAGGGCTAGCTGGAATTATGTTGTTATAAAGTTATTAAACATAGAGGCAGTAAACACTGATGAGTAATTCTGCTGACGTGTGTGTGCGTGTATAATTTAGAAAGCAATAATACCCAGATCCAATTTGGCATACATTGGTTACAGCCTCGCGTCACCTCATAGGAGTATTATGCTTTGCAAATTACATTGAGACAAGTCTTTACGTAACACTGAAGCATTTATATTTGAGGGATTTTTCTCCTTTTAACAGCCTGCTGACCGCAGATAAATACAGTGTTAAAGCAGAGGAACATTTTTTTTGTGGGGACCACTGGGTCAGAGTTACAGACAGAGTGGACACCTGCCCTGTGATTCAGTAATAAGTGGAGGCTGATGTATTCTCATGATGTATCCACAGTGAGTAGCTCATGCCAGGTTAAAGGCTGGGAGAGACATCTGGTGTTGTGTCAAGAGTTGAACAGAAGTCAGGCTGTGTCCCAACGCCGCTACAAGAAAAATCCAGCCATCACAGCTCTGGCCATGTCCAGGTATAGTAAATACCTTAATATCATGCACCCACTCAAGAGAGGTGGGGATTTAGTCTCTGGTTAAATATTTTGATACTAAAACTGTACACTTCAGGAGCTAACTGAATATTGGCTGAATTCTCTACAACTCTGCCTCACATGCTCATCTTCGTTTTTTCTATTATTGCATGCTTTACAACAGAATACATTTGCATTACTTTCTCCTGTGTAGGAGCCATGCTACTCTGTTGGCGGGCGATGCCTGGGGCAGAGTTTTCACCTGGACCTGTGAGTGAGAGGTGGCAATGTTTGAGCAGTTTCATGCCTTCAGCCTCCATTTCCATACAGCCTCTATCCTCTCAGAGAGAGACTGACACAGGAAGTTCATCAGTGTTTTGTGTGTGCATTCAGGGATACAAGTGTTACAATATTTGATACATTCAAGTCTCAGACAATATTTTACCATCTACTTAAGTATTTAATTCCCTTTTTTTCTCTGTAAATACTGAATTTCAACAAATTTGAATAAAACTGTTCATGGTCATTTGTCTAAATCTTCTCATGCGAGTCTCTGTCATTTTGATTATGACTGGCATTAGGACTTTAATTTATTTCATTTTATTTTACTTCATCTCGGATTCATACAGGTGAAAGTGGAAGGACAAATTCCCCAGAACTGCTTGATTGATTTGGATGAGAGAAATATTGGAAAACACTCACCACACACCATTTCTTAAAAATAAGTTAGCTCTGGGTCTCTGGCAGAGCTAACTAGGGACCACAGCAGAAACCTGTGACTGAACTGGGCAGCTTTAAGCTGAAAGCAACAGGAATTTCGTGAATGATGACCAGGCGTGTGCAGGCTCAGCCAATGTTCCCTGAGAGCTGCAGTTTTCTACTAGTATTGTAGGACTGGAGCAGTTCCTTTTCTCACGAATTGCACATCAAGCGTTCAATACTTTGAAAACTACTGCACACATGTCAGCGTTTTACACTATGAGGTTGTCGTGTTTTGCTTTGGTAAATGTTTGTGGTATGAACAATTCAGGATGTTTAGTTAGTTGTGAATAGTTTCCTGGACTTCCTTTGTTGTTTTTTCACGTTTTCAATTTGCATTGTAATGTGGCATTTATGAGTATTTGACTTTTATTTTTTTAAAATCTTCCTATACCATTCCCCTCCACAAGTTTACTGTGATCATGTGTAGTTTGTCTGTGTGTGTGTGTGTGTGTTGTGGGTGATGTAAAATGTGTTTGGGTCTTGTTGGGATATCCGTTCTGCTTGTCACAGCTTTCTGTGTGCATTTTTATGGTGAACCAAGGACAGATGTGCCTTTTTAGCCACATCAGACTGTTTTAATCTCTGTAATCACTGCAGGGCCTCGATGACACACTCTTGGGCAAAACTGACCCATTTGAAGGGGGACTGTGTGAGATTTTCTAAACATTGATCATCATCTTTCAGTGGAAAAGTACAACGCTGACACTCACCACATCAATGCACTAATGTTCCAATAAATAACTTACCATTTTAAATTATGTTAGATTGTCGAGATTGTTGACGCTCGTCCTCTTTCTGCGTCTCGCTTGCTCCCTCATGCACATGCACCACTGTTCTCTGTCATAAAGGAAGAGGTCTCTCTCTTTAACCTTTGTGTGTGTGGCTAATTGTGCTAAGTGGAGTAGCTTAATAGAGTGGAAAATAGTCCTCATAATTTTCCCAGAGAGCGAGCAATGACCTTCTCTAAAGACAACGGCCATCTCCATTCTCTCTACACCGCTGGTTTTATGATATGAAATGTCAAACCATTGGGTTCCTCAGAATAATTAAATCAAATAAATTATTGCACCTAGGCAGAACCATCTTGTAGCCTAACCCAATTATAATGCACTGTAAAGCTAATTATTAACCATGATTACAATTAGTCTAATTTGAATAAATGTAGTCATTAGCGGGTTCATCCTAGTCAGTGAGTCTGAACTGTGGGGGATGATGGTCTCTCTCTCTCGATCTCTCCCACTCAAAGAGAGATGGGTGTGGATGTGCATCATTCTCTTTCTCCGTGCACCTCTTTCTTCATCCCATTTTTTTTTTTTTTTTTTTTTCCACACACTGACCTTCACAAAATGGCCTACACCCTTCACCTTTCCTGGGTACTTGAGCGTAATGCCGCTTCCAGGATTCATGTTTGCTGTTTATGTCTGAGCTGCTGTGAAATCAGAGGCAGAAGACTCCCTGTGCAGTTTCTGTTTGTCCCCTACATAATCCCCGTAAAACTGCAACTTGATGTTTTTACACTTTTTAGATGGATAAAACAAACTAGACATCATGTTTTCATTAGTGAGCTTTAGAGGTGCTAGTTGGAGCTTTTTTTTTTTTTACCTTTTGGACAGAGCCAGGCTAGCTGCTTCCCCCGTTTTCAGTTTTAATGCTAAGCTAAGCTAACGACTGCTGGCTGTAGCCTTACACTTATCAGACAGATGCGTGTGATCTGCTCATCGAACTCTCTGCCAAAGAAGAAAACAGTTGTGTTCTCTTAATACATTACAGAAGTCATTCATTTCTCATTGCTCAGTCTGTGCTGCTGCTCATGTCAGACGCTGAATGCACCACAGCTGTTTGTAATATTTTGGTGGTGTTTTTCTTTTGTCGTCTCAAACAGATCTTGCTTGTGTGACCCCCGAAAAATCTGACAAAGTGCAGTTCAACAGTTAATTAAAAACAGCATTTATGAGAATCAAAGGCTGCACTCTCTGAATGTCAGACCCAGGCATATATTTATTCATTTTGTGTATTAGTACTGTAATTATAAATGCATTTTTAAAGGCTGAGTGTTACAGTGGCTTTATGACACTGCAGCAAGAGAGCCTGGACAACAGTTTCTTTCCACACAGTCTCCTGAGTTTATACAGAATAGTTACCAGTAAGAGCATTCTTATAAACATCTGGCTCACAGGCCAGCAATGCCAACAAACTAAACAACAGAATTATAAGACCCAAAAATTGCTGTGCTGGAATGGGACTGCACAGAGGAAACACAAAAGCCTCATTTGCCGACAGTTGTAGCGTACTTACAGCCAAAAAACAAATGCTAAATGCCATAGTGATAGTTCATAAATATAGTCCTTTTTGATGCCACTCAGTTCAGTTCGGAGAGCTGAATCTCTGCCCTCACTTTCGGGAGGTACCAAGCTGCTTTGTTTACAGCTGTTTCTCCTGGAAGAGGATCTGAGCGTACACAGTGTCCGGGCTTGAGGGTGTGGGGTCCGGGCTGGAGGAGGCTTGGGGCTCCGGCCTCGGTCTGACCAGCTCCAGCTCTGCGTATGTCAGACTGTCCTCCTGAGATACTCGAGGCTAGAGGAGGGAGGGAAGGAAAGGATGAGAGGATCTTGGAAGGAATTTAGCTCAGAGATAAGGCAAGAGAGGAAAGTATTGCATAGTGGATATAAACATTTCAGATTTCCCCATAAAAAAAAGAAGTGTATGTAGGGAGTGTATGTGTCTTGTCTCCATACAATCTTTCACAGCAAACAGTAGTATTATTCCACTTTCCGTAGTAAACATCTCAATAGTGCTTCTCAGCTGCAGAAAGTATGTGTTTACAGGGTTTGCAGGACCTCTTGGAACATTCAGTTTACTCAACAAACATTTGATACAATAGGACTCCTATCCAACGTCCTCAGATCCTTCTAGTTACACTAATCCAATCAGTATGTGCGTGCAAAAGAAATGCTCACATCTTCATTTCACTACAAAATCACACGAACGGCATCAGCAGAGGCACTGATGATGATCCTTAGTTTGAGTAGTTTTCTTCTGTATATATATTTGTTTGACACTTTTATTGTAGATATAAAACCAATGAAGCACTCTAAATAAATAATTGTGTTTGAGAAGCAATAAAGCTAAATAGAATTATCAAGCTCATAACTGAATGAAGAGACGGCAATAAACTCCTGTAGACAATCATGCAGTCATGAGACAAATTCCCTCTTGTGCATATCTCAATAACAACTCTGCATGAAAAAAAAAAACATCTTTTCAAAATGTTAATAAATACATTTTAACAAATACATTAAATGCATATGTTTCAATAATGGTGTTATGGCAGTAGTGGGCATAGGAATAACTGAGCTTGTGTGATGGGTGACAACAAGGTGACTTACGGCAGCAGATCTTCTTGGCTGAGTCTTTAACCTTCTGGGCTTTTGAGGTCTCTTTGCAGCAACAGGCACTGAAAAACAGATACAACCTTAATTGACTGAAAACAGCAGCCAGGAGGAATGAATTCACAAATACAAAAGTGTGATTGAAGTCAAAATCATCCTTCGCAGCCACTTTATATTAAATATAGTCAAAGGGAAGCTTATAAGAGAAGTAAGAGCTTCATTCTGCCATTTCCAGTGTCAGTGTGGAATTTTCCTCAGACAATACGCAGGATTTTACCCAAATATAGCGTTTAAGTTTCCTCCTCAGTTTGTTTTCTGCTGGTCTCCCAGTCTCTCTGCTGCTGTTTCTGTCACGGAAAATTGAATTATGCTGGAGATGTCACTTTCTGCTTTTTTACTTGCTGGATGCCTTTTTTTATTGTTTCCTTTACCCGTTAATTCCTGTTCTAAGCATCACGGGGGGCTGGGGCCTCCCTCAGCCCCCCCTGACTCTAATGCCTCCGATGTGTTTGGAATTTGAGAGGAAACTCAAGTGCCGCACAGAGATACAAAGACTGGGATTTGAACCAGGTCCCTCCACGCTGCGAGATGACACTATTAACTTCTGAGCTACTGTCCTCCCTCTGAACCAACACATTAGATTGTAAAAGCGTCTCATCTTGGATGTTCATATTAGAATTCAGTCCATTTTATTTTCCTGCATAAAATATATTGACACTCTAATCGAGTGGTTCCCAGCTTGGGTCTGAGGGGGTTGGCTCTTTTTCTGACTTTTCTTGAAGTTTTGAAATACTGGACACTTTTTCCTCTCTAGGCCTTTAAAACACCATCAAATCTTTTAAGTGAAACAGCCTGAGAAGAAAAAACACTCCATACTTCTTACAACTCCTCTCTACACTGAGGCCATAGCAGGTGATGAGGAGTCTGGAGTTAAAAAGGTTGGGAACCACTGGCCTAATGGCCCTTTTTTTTTTTAAAGAATTAAAAAGTCACATCCTGCTCTCAAAATGTCACTTCACCTTTGGCTGGTATGTGCGGCGGTGGCTCTTCAGGTAGTTTAGGTGGTGTTACTGTGACTCTTCTGTCAGTTTTCTGTCTTATGTCTTTCCTCTGCGCTCTTGGGGAGGAACTGGAGGAACTGATGGAGCTGGTTACAGTTTCTCCTGAGCTGTACAGAGCAGAGGAGTATTAATTAGGGCTACATCTAACACTTTCGTTTATCCATTAATTGATTATGCACATTGTCCAATAGCATGCTTTATGTTTTTCATAAAATAAAATATGGGCAGTTAATCCTTGTTAATTAATTGTTTCATTACTATTTTTACAGCATACTGTACCTGCTTTCTGGACATTTGACCAAGAGGTAACTGGCT